GGTACTATTTATCCAGAAGTGTCTAACACCCAAATCATTCCTTTATTTGAGTGTAAAAATCACCTTCAGAGAAAAAACATGAGAATAAAAAGGATTGGTTATAAAATTACAGCAAAGCTCATGAATAGTCACTGGAGATGATTAATTTACCAACTGGAATAGTACGTTGACAAAATCATTTATAGTCCCTGTTGACTTTCTCCCTTTTTAAGTGGCATAAAATAGAACTTTTGTTTTTATTTTGACTCAACTTAGAAGATTAGTTCATCTTTGTCTCAGGAACAGTACTGAATTTTATTTTTCCACATAGAGAAAGTAAGATCACATATAGTATATACTAGGCACAGTTCATTCCATTTCCTTGTTACCTTGCATGGAAAAAGTTTCTAATTCTTAAAAGAAAAAGAAATCCATTTCTACTGAAAGCGCCCAGATCTCTGCTCTTTGGGACCATACTAGAGGCCTATTGGGATCGAGAAGCAGGTCATTATTATTCAGAGGTTTATGTATGTTCCAGTCATTTGTGTCCTTTTGCTTTTTTCACAAGTGACCTATAACACAGACACAGGATAAATTTTAAGTCTATGGGCAAAGTCATCACTTAAAGCAACTGGAACATGCCCTGGCTTTTACATGTAACATGTTGTGAAATGCTTCTACTATAACATGCAACCTCTTTCTTGATAACATGAAGTACAATGGCCAGGCAGATGTTTAATTGGAGTTTGTCATTTTTTTCTGTATCTCAAGGTATGGTTTCTTAACTTTGAACATTATGAAATTATGAGCCAAAATAAACTTTTCCTCCTTTAAGTTCATTTTCAGTTTGTACTTATCTGTATCATCTACCTTATTAAACAATAGGTCCCTGATAGCTGGCAAGGATTCCATCTTGTGCATCAATGGAACCCTCAATCTGTGTTACAAAATAAGTTCATTACTACTCACTGGAGAAGTAAATGGTTCTGTCATCTGGATTATGTTTTTTAAAGGCATTCACAAAATACAGGCTGCTTGAAAAATCAAGTTTGTGATAATGCAGAGCTGCTCATCATGTGGAAGAAGACGGAGATGAGAAAGGGTGACCAGGGACAAAATATCCCCTTGAAAGGGCATGCCTCCAATGACCTACTTCCTCCACCAGGTCCCACTTCCAAAAGTTTCCAACGCCTCCCAGGAGCCCATTAAATGAAGTGTCCATAGATGGATTAATCCATTCATGGAGTCGGAACCTTCCTGTTCTCATAGGATCTTATAAGACCCAAAGGTCCTATCTCTGAACACTGATACACTGGGGACCAAGCCTTAGACACATGACCTTTTGGGGGACATTTAAAATCCAAACCATAAGAGAGTTGAACTAGGTGAATATTTGGATGTCATTCCCAAAATTAAAACCTTGTAAAATGTGTCTTATTATAATCTCATTTTTTAAAATATTTATTTTTTAGGTGTAGATGGATACAGTACAATGCATTTATTTTTATGTGGTGCTGAGGATTGAACCTGGGTCCCGCCCGTGCTAGGCGAACGCTTTACCGCTGAGCCACAATCCCAGCCCTATAATCTCATTTTAAAAAGTATTTTTTGCCATTGAACAAAGAAAGGTGGGGCCACTGTATGTCATCAGGCTGTTTATATGATAGTCACATGTGGAGTGGAGGAGAGGAATGTTACTATTATTATTTTTTAATGTGTTTTGATTTTCTGAAAGTTACTTGTATAATTTGAAGAATAAAAAGGGTTGGCTATTTGAAGAAATTAATTCAGTAATGCATAGAGAAAAGGGAACTTTGCACTTTTGAAATCTGAAGGAAAATATGTTTAAAAAAAAAAGTGAATTTGGACCCTTGGATAATGCTCAAATTTAAGGATCAGGAAAAATATAAGAGCTGGTCAGGATTCACAACTGGAAGAAAAGGAGGAAATTGAAACTTAAACTTTATTTCTTGAAGATTTTTTAAATGAAAGAATTATAAGATTTAATGGACCAAGTGTTTTCCATTTTGGATATTTTTAATTAACAGTTTTAGATGGAGTTAAATTTTCAATGATTATGAAATTACAAAGGACATATTCTTCTGAGTTTTTTTTTTTAACTTATTAAAAGATACATATCCTTACAAATGTGTCCTGAAGATAATTTAGGAATTTCATGCCTGACATATAGTATGATGGAATTTACTTTGGAAATTAGAAAAAAAGGGGTGAGATTTTTAAAATTATTGTTAGGTTTGCTTTTTAACCTTGACTTTACAGGCCTAAGTTGTCTTAAGGCTTAATGTTCATAACTTTGGAAATATTCATAATTAAGTAATAATTATTAGTATAAAACACATTTCATTCAAATGACCTTTCCTTTTTCTTTTTTAGGTATATTTGTATCCAGTATTGTTCTTATTTTGTCACAGCGATCACTTTTCAAGTTTTACATGTACAGCTCAGCCTTTCTACTAGCTGCAACTTCAGTGTTGGTGAATTACTATGCTTCTTTGCACATTGACTTCTATGGTGCCTACAACACATCAGCTTTTGGAATTGAGCTGCTTCCTCGAAAAGGGCCCTCATTATGGATGGCACTCATTGTTTTACAGCTAACATTTGGAATTGGATACATCACACTACTCCAGATTCATTCCATCTATTCACAATTAATTATTTTGGATCTCTTGGTTCCTGTAATAGGCTTAATCACAGAGCTACCCTTACATATCAGAGAGACTTTAGTTTTTACCTCTTCATTGATTCTCATATTAAATACAGTGCTTGTCTTAGCAGTGAAACTTAAGTGGTTTTATTATTCCACACGATATGTTTATCTTTTAGTGAGGCACATGTATCGAATTTATGGATTACAGTTATTGATGGAGGACACATGGAAGAGGATTCGTTTCCCAGATATACTTCGAGTCTTCTGGCTAACAAGGATTACAGCTCAGGCTACAGTGTTAATGTACATTTTAAGGATGGCAAATGAAACTGAGTCCTTTTTCATTTCTTGGGATGATTTCTGGGACCTCATTTGCAATCTTATAATTAGTGGATGTGATTCTACACTAACTGTCCTGGGCATGAGTGCTGTAATTTCCTCAGTAGCCCATTATTTGGGACTTGGAATATTGGCCTTTATTGGATCAACTGAAGAAGATGACAGGCGGCTTGGCTTTGTAGCACCTGTTTTATTTTTTATTTTGGCTCTTCAGACTGGTTTAAGTGGGCTAAGACCAGAAGAGAGACTTATTCGCTTAAGTAGAAACATGTGCCTTTTATTAACTGCAGTCCTGCATTTCATCCATGGAATGACAGACCCTGTATTAATGTCTCTCAGTGCCTCCCATGTATCATCTTTTCGTAGACATTTTCCTGTTCTGTTTGTCTCTGCTTGCCTGTTTATTCTTCCTGTTTTACTTAGTTATGTTCTTTGGCATCATTATGCACTAAATACATGGTTGTTTGCAGTTACAGCCTTTTGTGTGGAACTCTGCTTAAAAGTAATTGTTTCTCTCACTGTCTATACACTGTTCATGATTGATGGCTATTATAATGTCCTCTGGGAAAAGCTTGATGATTACGTCTACTACGTTCGTTCAACAGGCAATATTATTGAATTTATATTTGGAGTAGTAATGTTTGGAAATGGGGCTTATACTATGATGTTTGAGTCAGGAAGTAAAATCCGGGCTTGTATGATGTGCCTACATGCCTATTTTAACATCTACTTACAAGCAAAGAATGGCTGGAAGACATTTATGAATCGTAGAACTGCTGTGAAGAAAATTAATTCACTTCCTGAAATAAAAGGGAGCCGCTTGCAAGAAATAGATGATGTATGTGCAATTTGCTATCATGAGTTTACAACATCTGCTCGTATTACGCCATGTAATCATTATTTCCATGCACTTTGCCTTCGAAAATGGCTGTACATTCAAGATACTTGTCCAATGTGCCATCAAAAAGTGTACATCGAAGATGATAGCAAAGATAATGCAAATATCTCTAACAACAATGGCTTTATTGCACCCAATGAAAATGAAAATCCAGAGGAAGCTATAAGGGAAGATGCTGCTGAATCTGACAGGGAACTGAACGAAGACGACAGTACAGATTGTGATGATGATGTTCAAAGAGAAAGAAATGGAGAGATTCAGCACACAGGCGCAGCAGCTGAAGAATTTATTAATGATGACACTGACTGATTAAAATAGCATTTACTAATCATTGAGGTATTTGTTTAAAATTCAGTTCATCCAAAATGGAGTAATATGCTTCACTTCAGTGTGTAACCAAGCACAAAAACAGTATCAATGTTGAATCTGTGAATGGTTTTCCGTTTACTGTGATGTGCTACTGTAAATATACCTCTTTAATTACTTCTGGTCTCTTTGGTGACCTATTTAAATTTGTGTACATTATTGTACATAGAATAAAATGTTTTCACGTTTTTATGACAAAATTTGAACAAATAGCTTTTTAATAGATAAAATAATCATACAGTGCGTCAACTGTGCCAAAAATTCCTCAATGAAATTATATAATGTATCTAACTCTGGACCCTAGTTTTTCTTTAAAACGGGTGGGAGAATGAAATTGCAAATCGGGAAATCACATTAAAGTCAAGGAAAGACAGTTTGGATCAGAGGAGGAAGGCTATAAAATGTTTTAGAACTAAGAGAAAAATGAGCTACCTAGATGCAACTGAGAACTTTTTTGAACTTGGAGTAGCAATGTAGTTGAGCTGGGTTTAAAAGTCATGAGACAGAGGCTGTGAAAGTTGAGCAATAGGCTTATATCAACTAAGCTTTGATATAGACCAGAATGTACTATTTAATTTTTAGGTAAAATGAGTCTTTCTGTTTGAAGTATTATAAAATTATATTTTCATACTTGATTAGATTACACAGTGAAAATAGGTGTGTGATCTAATCATTTTAAACTAGAGCATTAAATGATATTAAAAAATCTTGATCTGATTTTATAGATAAAATTGAAGATGATACCCATTTAGATGACATCCAGAGAATTTTCTTTATTAAAACTTAAAGTCAGTTTTATCATGAAATTGTAACATACATGATGGAAAATGGAAGATATACCAGTATCAGGAAAAAAATAATTTAATGGTGTTGTTATAGAGTGTATTGGCTAATTCAAGTGGATCTTCATCTCTTACTGCTGACATTATCTCCAGTATTTGACTAAAACAAAACAAAAAAGGAATGGTTAAATTTCCAGGATGTATTCTGTTCTAAAGGTATATAATATTTTTTTCACATAAAGGAAGACCTTGTACTAATTTAACAATAAGCTTAACAGTTGTTTTTAGCAATATCAATAGGAAAAAACTTTGTAGCAGCAATTAGAGACAAAGTGCTAAAGCTGACTTGGGTAGAAACAGAACCAAGAACAGCATCAAGTAAGTTTAAAATTGGCCTTCTATACCATGTGTACCACAATCATGGCGTTAACCCAGCAGAAAGGAAGCATCCTTTAAAACTGTAGGTCATAACACTTCAGTGAGTCATGATGAACATTTTAAAAATTAGGAGGATATGTATATTACATGTAATGAGGGTAAGTACTTTTCTACTTTGGGTTCAGTTTTATTTACATTTATTTGTATATAATGATAATTGGGAGGACGGCACCCCAAATTTTCTTTATACAGACTTACTAACCCACTGTTTGAAGAACTAGTCCTTTAAAGATACCGAGAAATGGCTACATAACCACTAAGAATGACAGCAAAGGAAGAATAAAGTGTGGTTGAGGGTGAGGGCTTTATGTTCCTATACTTTCTGTCCTATAAGACAGAATAGCCCATGGGTCAGTCTATCAACTTTCTTTACCTAAAATGATAATTGTCACTGTTTCCTAACTATTACATATAGGTAAGATACATGAATTAGAAGGCCCTAGTGTAAATTAAACATTTAGATACTCTTTGTAATAAGTTTTCTGTTCCCTTTATGGGTATCTTAATACAAAGTGTATGGCAATCTTCAAACATCCCTTGCCATCTAGTCTATTTTTATGTGGTTTCAATGGCCTAAAGCTGAAGTTATTTTTTTTTAATTTTTTGTAGTTATAGATGGACAGAATGCCTTTATTTTATTTATTTTTATGTGGGCTGAGGATTGAACCCATTGCTTCACACATGCTAAGCAAATACTCTGCCACTGAGCTACAGCCCCAGCCCTGAAGATATTCTTAAAAAAATAATTAAAAATGTATATTATCCTTGAGAATTCAATGGTTTTGTTTATATAGCACACCAGGCATAGGTTTTCAGTTATGCAAGATCTGTACAATCCCTACTACCTATCTCTTTTCCTGTCCTTCCCCACACTGATTACTAATGATGCCTTCAAATCATGCCATTCTCCTGTTTGAAATCCTTTGGGTCCTGATAAAGTCAAATCTAAGGTTGTCATAAAGAGCTGGACAATCCAGCCTCATTCTGCTGCCTTCTACCTAATCCATGCATCCTACTTATTCCCACACTAGGCTCCTTGCTGTAGATCAGCCAAGTCTTTTCTGTGTCTGCCTTTGCTCAAGGTGTTTGTCTTTGACTGGTCTAACTCCCAGTTATGCTAAGTAAACAACTGAAATGTCACCTTAAAGCACTCCTAGTTCTTTTCAAGGCAGACAGTTGCTATGTCTCTGGTCCCAGTTAAATTCGATATGTGCCCATTAACACGATAAACTAGCTTTCCTAGTTTGTTATAAGATTCACTGTAGCTTTTGACACGAGTATTTTCATGTGCTAAAAAAAAAAAAATTATAATAAAATGACTCAAGTTACTACATTTTAGGAAATACACTATGAAGTTCTGCCCCCCTTGTTAAATTTTTTTGATTGGGAAAAGGAAATTCTTTCATTTATCATTTTGTTCTAAGGCTTAAAGAAATGTGTGATTTCCTAAGGTGGTCAAATCATTTAAAATGCAAGTATCATTTAAAAAAGGTCTGCTAAGGCTAACTGATTACAAACAGCAGCAATGAAGTTACATAAGAATAAACAAGGTAAGGTGATATGAATAGTTTTTAAGGTCCTACAAAACGATAGGTGACCAATTAGATTTCTTCATTGCTAAATTAAAAGTCACTGAATTGAGAGAAAGTGAATATAGGAGCTAACAGCAATAGGTACAAATTCAGATTCCTCCAAATCACTATTAAAATGACCTTTGACCTGAACTTTAACTTTGGGTCATGAAGATGTGTCACTGCAGATTCATTATTTCTAACATGTACCATTGTGGTGTATGTTAGTTAAAGACTGACCTGAACTTGACTTGGATTTTATGAAACTTTGAATTTTGTTCCTTGAGTTCATTTTGTAAGTGGCATTTGGTGGTTATTGTCAATAATTTTTAAAGACCATAACAGCAAAACACTTACATTATATGACAGGGTTCATTTCTATCTTTTAAACAATGCCCATTTTCCCATTTCTTTTTTGTAGGAAATGAAGTTTTTACATATTTTGATCCAGCATGTGTATTTTTGACTCCACACCAAGGTGCATCTAGAGTTAGGTAAAGAAGTGTCTGTTAAAGGGTTTACTTTTTAAAAATTGTTTTCTTATGGAACATTATTAAACAAATACAAAACCTTTTAAGTAACAAGCCATGAATTAGCTTCAAAGCAGTGAAATTAATGCATCTGAAAACAGTTCTAAGAAAAGCACAAGATAAAATCCCAAATTGCATTTTAAACATTAAGACTCACTTTTATGTTATATTTAACAAAAGACCTTAACCTAACAAATATTGTAAAATTATACATGCTTTAACAAAAGATTTAAACCTAAAAGAAATACAATTCTAACATGAAAACATTTGAGATAAATTTCTATAGTGCCACTTCTGAATGTGAAACTGGCCGTGAATACTACTTTGATCATTATAATAGGTTACATATTTTACAAATATTGTACTTTTAATGAAATCTTCTCATTTCACGACATCCCAAGGAAATAAAAGTAATTTCTCCAGAGTGGCTCTATCTGAACTTTAAAGGCAAGGTAAAAAAAACCTTGAGCCACAACATTTAGATAAATTTTAGCTTTTATCTCTTTTATTTTAAATAGATTCTAAAATCTTATACAAGTTTTCTCAGTTTACTTTAAAAATGTGGTAGAAGTAGACATTATAAATAAGACATTTGTTAATGTTTTTAAAAGAATTACTTAGGTAATTACTTATATATTTATATATTTAGTTGTAGATGGACACAATATCTTTATTTTACTCTAAAAAATATATTTTTTTCATGTAGTGCTGAGGATCAAACCCAGTGCCTCACACATGTAAGGCAAATGCTCAACCATTGAGCTACAACGCCTGTCCCAATTTTTTGATTTAACTTGAAACTCTGGATGAAGTCCTGAGTTAGATTCCTTATTTAATTAAATATTCATATAATTACAACCTCTTTGGTTATCATGGATCCTGACACATACATACCCCCCACTTATTTGTGTTTTTGAAGTTTTCAAGCTTAGCCAAATTTCTAAAATTGAAAATAAAAACCACTTGCATTCTTCACCAATTAAAATAAAATCTTTGGGGAAGTATAACTGTTGAAGCTCAGCATGCTATTTTAGGATATTTAGCAGTGATGTTGAAGTCACATTTCCTTCTCTAGCTATTTTCTGGAGGGTAGTAAGTATGGTTTAATATGAAAATATCAACTTACCAGTTTCAATCATTAACTTTTCACTAGGTATTGACTTCAAGACTTCCAAATTAGCCTCAGTTTTCAGTGAGCTAAAAAAAATAGTGTATATTTACTTTAAAGGTAGCATTTAGTGACTTTTTCATATTATAAACATTTAAATTTTTAAAAACCAAAACCCTGTAACAAATTTATTTTCAATGTACTTTTGAAATTTTTGTATATGTACACTCAGATTCTTCACAGAATCCAAATTTAAATCATTTCAACTAGATCTGCCTTTAGAAAGGATATTTTTTCAGGTTTATCAATTGATTTTTCAATAGTTTTTCTTTATCAGTCTAAGTAAAAGCTTAACTTTTTAAAAAATTTATTTGCATAATTGAGAGGTGTTCATAAGGCAGTTAACTTTCATTTTATTAACTTTCATTTTCAGCCCCTGAGACACTGGATTACTGCTCCTAATTCTTCAGCATCCTTTAACAGAATTAGGTATCTGTACTCTTGCCATGGTTTCTTATAAAAAGGACGAACTCCACTCTGAATCTGTCCATGGCTTCAAGACATGCTTTAGGCCAATGTGAGGAGATGACCATAGGCAATGTACCTTTTTGTCATCTGGATGGCATGATAAGTAAACATACACTGAGGAGTTGCTACCTCTTCAGCCTGGGTGCCCAGAAGGAAAATGCAACCTGTGGCAGCCAAATTCCAAATGATCCAAGACCAATGATTGTGGATCTGAGTGCAATTTGCAGTGAGGTTTGGGATGGTTTACGATATAATTTGATGACGAATAATACTGTCCTTGTATTTTAAAATAATTATAATATTAAATCATTTTTAGAACAGTTGTATGTTCATAGCCAAACTGAGCAGAAGGTAGACATTCTAGGTAACATCTCATGCCCCCGTGTAAACACAGCCAACCACACTCTAAAAATCCACAATACAGTGGTACATCTGTTAGAATTAATGAGCCCACATCAAAACAACATCATGGCCCATAAGCCCACAATTGACATTATGGTTCGCTCTTGATGATATACATTCTGTGGGTTTGGACAAACAACATAGATATATCATAATTTCATCTGGAGTAGTTTCACTGTCTAAAAACCCTCTGTGCTCTGCCTATTATCCCTTCCACACACCCTTCTTAACCCTGGAAACCACTGATCTTTTTTACTACCTCTTGAAAGTCATCTCATCCAAAAGAACAAGGAAAATAAAACAGTAATCTTTGGTAAAATCAATAAACATTTGTTCTTTTTCTATTCTTTTAGTGAACAGAAAGGAGGAGGTAGGGGAGGAGGGGACAAGAAATCAAAACTAGTAAATATTTGTTAACCTTGAACCACAACATAGAAAGCACATGGAGAAATGATAAATGACATGTTTAAATGCTTTTAAAAGTTATGTGTCTGCAGAGAGACACATTAAAAAAAAGCAAACCACATTTCTAAGAACCTGAGAATGAGATATAGAAAGCTAGGATAAAGCAGGGGATAGAAATAAGAGTTGTTTGAAAAGTCTGGGTAAAGAAATGATGGGGCTCCCAGATTACTTATCTATGGTTGAGGAAGGAGGAAACCTAAATCAGAGAGCGCATCAGAGAACAGTAAGCACAAATGAGTAGAGTGCAGGGGTGAGGTGGGCTGAAATGAAGACTGACTGCTGTGGGGAGACCTCTAATCCCATCTTGCTCCAGGACAGTGTCAGGTACGGTTGTCAGTCCCTACCCCACTTTTCCAGCAGAGGCCAGAGGATCCCTTTTTGGAGAAATGAACCAACCAGAAAAAGATCTCTATAAAATGGTATTTGGGAATCCCTAGTGGCAAAGTCAGTTCGCCATCTGAGCCTCCCAACTGATGGACTGTCTCCTACAGCACTTCCAAGCAGCTATTTTTTTTTTTTAATAGACAACGAAGAAATGCCATTGAAGAAAGCCCCAATGATGAGAGAACAAAGGAAGAAATAAAAGCAATCAAACAATTTTCAACTATAATTCATATCTTTAGAGATGAGAACTCACTGCATCTGTTAAGACTGGTATTTTAAAAAGCTTTCAAAGACTGAAAACAAAAAGAAATATTTAATTTTTAAAAGGTTGAAAATAAAGCACTTTTTATAAAAAAAAAAAGCAGAAATACAGATGGAAATTGTAGAATAAAAAGAATATCAGACATCAATCTGGGATACTAAAAAAAATATGAAGAAAATTCTCCAGGACTGATATAAGCCTCCAGCTGGAAGGGGCCAGTAAGAGAACAGCATAAAGAGGGACCAGAAAACAAAATAAGAACATCAAAACACATCTTTGTGAAATTCTATAATACCAGGCATAACTAAAATCTTCCAAAGGAAAAACAAGTTCCCAAGAAGACACTGGGAATCAATATATCAACTAACTGTTCACTATCAACTAGAACCTACTGATCAAACAATGTAAGTTCTCAGTGAAAATGATTTCTCATGTAGAATTTCATGCCCAGGAAAACTACCAACCAAAAGTTGGTAGTTTCATTTGCTATGCAGGAAAACTTTTAAGAATACAGTAAGTTCATTTTAAAACATGCAAAAATCTCAAAAACTTTACTTCTCATGAAAACTTTCTTAGGAAACAAAGGATTTAGACCACCAAAACAAGTAATATTTGGGGCCTCAAAATAGGAGTGCTATCAGACAAGACACTAGTCTAAATTGAAACAAAAAGAGCAGGGTATGGAACTAATGGAGCTATCAGATTATCTAGATAGATTTCCTCATGGAGAAACAATAGATAAAAACATTTTGTAGAACTGTGGCAAGTATTAGAGGGCTTCAAATTTTGAAGAAAACCAAGAAAAGTTACTTCAGAAAAATAAAAGTGGTACACCAAATGGATCAGCAGTCAAAATGTATATAAAGACATAATGAAAACATTGAATATGCATAAACTCAAAAATTCTGAAATAACTACAATGGAAGGAATAATGGAGGTGGAGTTAGTGCGGGATATAAGAATTCCAGTGCTTATAATGAGAAAATAGGCAAAGGGGATGAATCAGAAGATAAGAGTAGATGCACATAATCTGGAAATACTGTGACATACAGCGAAGTGGTTGCTCTGGAAGAGCTGACTTAGAGGCTGGGGCATGCTGGGTGGGGTTTGTGATAGTTGCTTATAAGTCTTTAGTCCTACTTGACTTTTTAATCACTATGCATGTATTCCTTTAAATATTAATTTATAAATTAAACCAAACCATGAATTTAAATATAAGACTGGGCACAGTGGCACATGCCTGTAATCCCAGTAGCTCAGGAGGCTGAAGCAGGAGGACAGAGTTCAAAGCTAGCCTCAGCTAAGCAAGGTGCTAAGTAACTCAGTGAGATCCTGTCTCTGAATGAAATACAAAATAGAGCTGGGGATGTGGCTCAGTGGCCCAGTGCCCCTGAGTTCAATCCCTGTTACCTGACCCCACACACACCCCAAAATGTGAAAGAGGCATCTAGAACATTTATATACTGAACTCTATAGTAAATAAGTAATTCCATTATTCTATTCCCAAAGATTTTAAATTATTTAATCAGAAAAGTGACATTGGAAAGAAACACTGAAGAGGGAAAGCGAGTCTTGTACTATACTGTGATTTATTTTAATAAGCTACACTGACATCCTGTGAAAAGATCCTGGCGGAAGCTCTTATACATCTGACACAAAACCAGCCCAGGCCCAAGCTATGCCAGTGACTGCATTGGTGTTTGAGGTTTAGTGTGGGGTTACAGCAGAAAGGTCACAGAGCCAGAAGCCAGAGGGCACAGGTTCTTACACTTGGGAGTAACTTTATACCTGTTTCTTAACTTATTTAAGCCTGGTTTCTTAGCCTACAGAGATATATAAATGATTGTCAAAGAATAACCTTTCTCCCATGATCAGACATGACATATATATGTCTATACAATGCTGTAAACCATACATTTTAAATAGATAAAATGACTTGGGAATAAATTGGATTGTTAGAAAAAGCTAGTTGCTGATTTCGGCAGACTGTTTCTATTATTAGAACAGAGTAGAAGTCTAAGACTTTCAGGCTTTCACTTGTAATGGTAAATAGTACTGTTCCGTTTCTTACATAAATACTAAAATTCTTGGGCCAGGATCAATGAAAAACACACATACTTTAATAAAAAATAAATATCAGCAATTCATTGTAAAACAATTTAAGAAACATGCTTAACATAAAGGTTAAAACAAACAAAAAACCTTAAGAACGTACCAACCATTAAACCCTATATAAAGATCCAAGTCAATCAGAGCAGCTGCTGCTTCCTTGGTACCATCAAATGAATGCACCTAGGGACATACAGGCATAATTTTATTATAATTATTCTTTAAAATTCTACATAACACTAAGACTTCCTAAGCAAAAATAATAGATGCATGTAAGGTTTAGAGATCATAGGGTTTCAAATGTGGTAGCCCCTACAATTTTAATTTTCACTAAGGTTTCACAATTACAACCTATTGTCATCTCCAGTGATACGGCAAGGGATTAGCTGGCTAGGATTTCTCTCTAGAGTGCTGTGTTGGTGTCTGCACCAGTATCACCATAGAAGGGCAGTCATGTTTTCAAGCTTGGAAATGTCATACCACTATTGAAAACACTGAATTTTTCTGTTTTGAGTATATTTTTTCTAGAATAGAAAAAAATTTAAGAGGCAAGTTTTAAGAAGTTCTATAAAGAGGTAAGCTTTAAAAATGTAAATTGTTACACAGTCAATAATATTGACTTAGCAGGCAAAAAGAAATGAGATGGTATTTTTCACCTTTAAAGACATAGGGGTTCACATGTAGTTTTTCATTCTTCAGGTATATTTATGTAATCAATAATAACAAGTAACAACAGCACTTCCTTTGCAAACAAGATGATGTCACGTAACTGCTGAGTCCAGAGAATCTGAAACATACTATGGCTAACATCTCCCAATAATTAAAAAATTTGTTACACAGCTCTCCATAAAGGGATTATTCTTTCCCTCACATTTTTAGTCGACTAGAAAACACAACCTCAATTAATGGCAAAATAATTTTAAATGTGACTCTTCATAAACCATTTTAGAAAAATTAGTTAATTCTTTGGTAATTTCTTTTTTACTAAAAATCAAACATTTACATTGGATTTGTTGGTGGTGGTGTTAATTTTTTAAAACTATTATAGAATCATCCAAGTAAAAGCTTACTTAGAAATAAAGAAAATGGGAGAAAGGTAGAGTCTGCAGGCCATAATAAATACCACTGGCTATGCAAAGGGCATTAAAACCTCTCAATTCCCAGGTACAGTTCCAAAAGGATAAGTTAGAGAGTCAATAAATTACAGAGAAATGTACACAGTAACGTTAACTCCAAAGCAATATAGAATACATACATATAACAAATGGTACAAAAAAATGAGGCAAAGGCTAAACACTGAGAAAATGCACATGAAACTCAAAAGACAGGCACCCATACATAATGGGTGCTCAGGGCTATTTCCTCTCCCCTTGGTTGGCACAATAAACTGATTTTATTATACCTGGAATAATGGTTTATTTATTTATTTATTTATTTGCTAGAGAGTCACTGAGACTCTCCTGAAATTGTATTTGAAAATCTATATATCTGAACATTTTTCTAAAGTGAATTCTCAAAAAGAGTCCATGATTTGAAAAGACTAAAAATAAAAATCACTGTCATTGATTCCTGAACTAGGTGATAGTCAGATGTTATTTATGGGAAATGTCTGAAAATCAGTGACTGAAATGTCCATATGGGAGCACTATTTCAAGTGAAATATAAATTATAGAAAGGAAAATGAGTCTATAGATCAGAGTCATAATAGTAAATAAATACAATTAATCAGAAATTAAGAAAACAAATCTGAAACTAATAGTAAATATTTTAAGATATTATACAAATATATAAGTTTCTCAAAATTTAAACTGAAGAACATTCATGAATGGCTAATGGAAGAGACAGAAAAAGAATATCATGCGTAGCATCAGAATGTGTAGAAGTAAATTCATGGGGTTTTCCTGTGAATAGAATTTTATACTCATTCTTGTACATTGAACAAAGAAAGTATAATTGAAACAGTGTGGTTTCTGTGTTTCCTACATCTGACCCATAAATCCACTAGTAAACTTACATGTCTTTCAAATAATGGGTGTAGAACTGACATCTGAATTACTTTATAAGCCACCCTTATTAACCAAGATGTTTTTGTATATCATAAATTAAAGACAACAATTCTATACTTACCACCCCACCTACACACCGATCTCTATTTCTTTTCATTATGTCTGTGAATTAAAAATAGAAAGAACTTATAGGAATTATCTTGATTTTTGAACAATTCTTAAATTCTAAATGAGTTTATTTTTAACTCACCTAAAAACTCAGTATGTGAGTTTCGACAATGAAGAAACATTGGTAATTTTGTTTTTTCTGACAGTTCAAATTGTTTTTCAAAGTATCTGCATAACACAAAATATTTTCCTATTAAAAATTTTATTTTAGCAAGAGAAGGACTATTGTCAAATGATTTTTTTAAATAAGGAATTTTATTCTCTAGAAATGATAGCTCTAAAACAGTGAATTCAGCCATTAAAACATATCAGGCTTAGCAGAGGGCTTCTTATAACACATTTTCTGGAAAGGGAAACTACAGTTTCTGGGATTAAAAATTTATTTTCAGAACTGTTAGGTTTTCCATCATAACTGCTTAGTAAGCAGGTAGCATTTTACTAATGATTGTTAGAAGAGATGTATGCTTTATAATTAGTGTGATGGCAGATGTTCCCCTGAAGAACTACTTTTAAACTAGTGTCTCAACCAAATCCCAGCAGATGAAACAAACATCCCATAATCCATAAGATCCAGACCCAGAGCAGGTATTAGTGGTAGAGAAGAACAGGAGGCTGCAGGCCCCCTACCAGTGGGGCTGGCTGACCACCAGACTACTTTGTGCTAACCACTCTAGGCTACCCAACCCTACAGATCCATGAACTAAGTCACATGACTAAGGCACAAATTTACAGAATCTAATGGTTGGTTTAGAAATTAGCTTTCTATCATGAGGTAGGCAAAAGGATGATTTATGAAAACAAAAAAGCTCATGACCACAATTTTACGTATTTGGAGAAAAGAAAGGTCCCTGAGTTTAAGCCATCTAGTATCATTAGAGGGCATGTGGTAAAAAAATAAATACTAATGATAAAATCAAGGATAATTTGTATGCAATATCAAATGATAATTGTCTTTAAAGGAAGAAAATTACCATGCTAACTTGAAACAATGACATAAGTTGTGGGGCAGGAATTGGCATCTCTGCCTGATTTACTTATGATTTCAGTTCATAAATGAAAACCATTCTTTATTTAAGTTTGGTCCTTTGAGTGAAGCTGTGATTAGATTTCAGATTGGATCACTGTTTCTTACAGTTCAGGGTCAATACCATCTAAAGACAAGGGCTTGAAAGGTCAGCTTAGCAGTGGAGGCTGTTATTTACCAGAACTGAAGCCATTGAAAAGCCCAGCAAGTGACACAGGTACACCTTAACACAAGCTGGAAATCTATCTCTAAACTGGCCAATGGCCTCAACCTCTCATCTCTAGGGTCCCCTAAATACCCAAAGGATCATTTTGAAATCTTGTCTGATATCTGGTTTTGGGACGGTGGGTACTAGGGATTGAATCCAGGGGCTCTCTACCACTAAGCCCTTTCTATTTTGAGCCAGGGTCTCAATGAATTATTGAGGCTGGCCTTTAACTTGCCATCAGCCTGACTTTTGTCTCTGGAGTCACTGGGGTTATAGTCATGTCCATCTCATCTCATTATTATTATTTTTTTAAAGATCTTCACAGTGTTAACATTTTAAAGCCTCAAGAAAACTGTCCAGATCAAATTGCTCCTACTCAAGAGAAAGGAGCTCTAACAAGGAACAAGGAAAGAGTGTAGCACAGGTTACAGAAACGGTTAAGTACAGGGGATGACTCAAAGATACCCTAAGCAAAAAGTATAACAAATGTTTTCATTTAGAATGGCAATGTTTCTAATAATATAACAAAAGCCACAATTTATTAAGTCCTTACTCTGTGCCAGGCATGCCACTATTAGCTTTTACATGTCATATGTTTAAAAAGATAAGCAGCATTATTCTCATTTTGAGGATGAGGAAAATTAAGATGTACAAAGGGATATATAACCACCAACAGCAACTTTAAAACATACCCAAGACTTGCTGATTCAAATAATCATACTTTTAGCACTATGTTATTGATGCTGTTATTTTTCAGATGCTTTAACTATTGTACCTTAATTTGTCTTGTCTTCTATTTCAATACGTTAATTTACTTTCTATTTTTCTCTTCTTTTTTTCCTGACATTTTTATTTAAAAACAAAAAGAAAGCAAAAATAAATCAGATGTTGTTTCAGATGGTATGAAAACACAAAGCAAAACCTAAATTCTTCTAAGAATAAACTCAATGGCAAAAGCTGAATTACAAGACTTTGTCCCATGTTCCCCTATAGGAATCAGAAAGAGCCTTCCTCCTCAAACTTTCACCTACCAGTTACCAAGCACTTGCTATGCCAAGAGCGCTATGCTAAGTGCAAGGGAACTACAACAGGAGCAAGATTTAAAGTGCCACTGAAGCCACTCAGGACACAAGTCTGTCTAGCACAGAACAAACATTACCAATGCACTGTGCTGAGTGCTGGAACAAGCATAGTGCTGTGTGAGCACAGGCTGCAGACAGGACGGGGCATGGGGTTTTGTTTCCTTAACAATCCAAACATGATTATTACTGCTGTATCTTTCATCACTAAGTCATTTAGTGTTTTATAATTAATTTTTTTTCAAAAATCTCAAGTTAAACTGCCAATCTTACCAAATTTCCACCTATTTTAGTTTATCCTTAGTTTATTCTCTCCAAAAAGGGCCTAGACTACATGCTATCTACTTTACTGAAGACTTTCCTGACTCTCCTAGAAAAGTTAGTCCTCTCTGCTGTGTACATCGCTTTCTGATAGCACTAGCCAGCCATTTATAATTACTTATGTCCTCTCTTGTCTATGAAAACATGAGGACCAAGTCTTATTTCTATCATACTGGGGAGGCTCTCAGTAATCATTTACTGAATTATCAGAGGTCTAACTTTCTACACTAGATTAACACCTGAACAACTGGCACAGGAGTTAAAGCATAAACTATATTGTGCTATACACATTGTTTTAGTTCTAATCTTGCTCTGATGATTTAAGTCTCTTCAGAACACTAAAATAGAATTGATATTATCATTGTTTTCATTTAACCCCCAAGTTGAGTTTCAAGTATTTAAGTTGCATTTTAGAAATAGCTTTAACTCATCTATAAGTAAAATATGTACCAGCAAGAAATCTTGGGGGAACTATGCAACTGCCCTTGCTTGTTGTGATACAGTCTGTGATTCATAAATCTCAATCTGGCCCAAAACTAATGTGGAGGAATAACCTAAGAAACTATCCATCTGTGAACTCTTAAGGTGAAGTGAGTTGACAACATGATATTCAGAAGAGGCTCAGAGCTCTAGTAACACTGCTGGTGGCCTTGTGTGTGTCCCTGGAAACACAGCAAATGGTATACCACAAATTGCACAACTCTGAAAGGGTTATATATAAAAAAGAGGCCTGAAAGAAGTATGTGGCCATAGGACTTCACTCTAACTCAACCTACTCCACTTGGCTATAGATGTCAGACTTAAGAAATTTGGGAGATTCGAATCTTAAGTTATGACTGACTCCACTAATAAACCTGCTCCTTACTGCAGTGGTTTTCAACTACAATGAACAGATCAAGATTCCACTTTAAAGCAAAGCAACAGGCAGGGGACTCAGTAACATATTTTTGGCATGTATAAAATGAAAAACAGCTTCAGGCCATAAAGTTATTGGCTTAATTAAAATCACATGACAACAAGTATTCATTATTAAATATTATGATAGGCAGGAGGACTGAAAGTTCAAAGTCAGCTTCAGCAATTTAGCAAGACCCTCAGCAACTTATTTATTTATAAAGATAAATAAATAAAAAGGGCTAGGGATGTGGCTCAGTGGTTAAATGCCCCTGGTACCAAAACCAAACAACAACAACAACAAAAAAAAAAAGTGGATGTTATCTTAAGAAAGAATCTGAGCCAAATTCTCCTTTATATATCAGAAACTAAGGTATGGAGCTGGGGGCAAAGCTCAGTGGTATAGCACTTGCCTAGCATGTGTGAGGCCTTGAGTTTGATTCCCCAATACTGCAAAAAGAAAAAAAAATAAGGTGGACAGAGGTTGTTTATTCTTAAAGGTTGTTAGTAACAGCTAGTATACTTTTATTCATATTTTTGTATTCTTTGAGTTCCCAGCAGTTGCTGGCATGTATTCCATAACTCCATAAATATTTGTTATATGAATGAATAATTAAGTTAACCTCCTTTAGAAGTTCATTCTAATGTTTTAGTATCTCGATAATTAAGATGTTTTTGAAGTGCTCATGTTTTAAATTAAAACTTGACCTAATTCTTATTTTCAACCTATATAACTGACCCAACATTCGATAGGACCTCCAATTAAAAGCTGCAAATTCGCATTACAGGAAGTCCTTGAGGCCTGTGAGCTGTGGAGTTTTCTTAGGAGCTATAGTTCTCAACATGGCTCCTATGAAACGGTTCTCACTGTTCCCAGCTAACAATATCCAAAGCCCAGCAAGAGTAATATATGCTCTTCTTGCTTTGGTGATTGATCTTTTAATCCCTTTTTAATATCCTTTGCCCTTAAATCATGTCCCCCACAACTGAATTTCATTCTCTCCATTGGAATGGTTCATGCATGATCCATCTGTTAAACAAATGAAAAACAACAAAAAAGTCTTGTAAATTCATCCCTTATTTCTAACAAATAAAATTGGTTAATCAATTATATCCCTTATGAATTATATGCATGGAATTTGTTTTATTTATCTTTTGATATACACAGGGAAAAACAAAAACATCCTGAGGCCTAATCTAACTATGTGCTCAATTCATAAGTTATTTTAAAAACATCACTACTAGTATTTTACAATTATTACGAATATCATTAAATTTCCTTACTTGAGCTGGGTATCTCTGGAACAAAATTGTAGTCGATCAAAATCTTTAAAAGATAAAAAAGAATAATTACTTAGGACTTCACAGAACAAATCTGCTATTTTCAAAGTCATCTAAGTGGCTGGCTTGCACTTACCAAGTCCACATTCCCCTACTGCTACAACCTTCCCCTTATTGTTTTCAGCAAGATTTAGCAATTCCATTAAGTAAATGTCAGGATTATTCTTTTCAAATTCTCCACATCTTGTAGGATGACATCCAACTGTGCTGAAAAACATATCTAACACAAAGTAATGTCTTAGGATTATTTTCAAAATCATTTCACATTCATATTTAATATGTAAATATAAGAGAACAAAAAGTTTCAACTTTTTTTTTAGTCATATACTGTTTTAACTACCAGAATTGCATTATGTTAATCATGTAAGAATTTGCAGGAAACCTTAACAAAGTGGGACATGAATATGAAAATTGCTTTTCTGTGTTAATAAAATAATTAATTCAACTCTTTCCAAAGCTTGGTATTTATTGAGCATTACATAATGAAAAGTGAAATAATTTCTTGAAATGTTATCATCTAAAACAAAAAGAAATGCTGTCATCTAATTTTATTTATCTTTTATATTCAGTGTTCACATGACTATCATAATTCCTTTATTTAATATAACAGTTAAAATATATTCTCCTTAAAAAGGTTAATTGCAGAGGTGACTCAAAAAGGTAAAATGGAGAATTTGTTATTCTAATAAAAAACACCTGGTTCTGGTGGTGTATACCTGTAATCCCAGTAATTGGGGAGGCTAAGACAGGAGGATCGCAAGTTCAAGGCCAGCCTCAAAAATTTAGTGAGGGCCTAAGCAATTTAGTGAGACCCTGTCTCAAAATAAAACCCAAAAGAGCTGGGGATGTGGCTCAGTGGTTAAGCACCCTGAATTCAATCCATGATACCACATATTAAAAATTAAAGAAAAAAAAAGAAAACAACAAAACTTAACTATTGGCTTTGACAGCTTTAATCCTATGGAACACAAATGAGAAGTCAAAGATGGGTTTGAGGGTTTTAACAGGTACCTCATCTGAACCTGCAGAGAGGGTGGAGCCTCCTTCAGGTTCTCATGCAGATGTCTACAGATAAAAGGAAGCATCAGATTCCAAATGTGTGAGGACACAAAGTACTTTGAAAGGACTGGGAGGGGTTAATAGGGAATAACTGGGGAGAACTTCTGAAAGCATATCTGTTTGAGAACAAAAGAATGAAAGAAAATATTCTTATGTACCCACAGAATTCCTGGGAAGATGATTATTTTTATGTCCTTAGTTACTAAATAAATGTCAGTGTATCCTGAAAAAAAAAGTGTGTATTTTAGAAAGATTGGGGTTTTTTTCAAATATTTTTTATTTATATATGGACACAATATCTTTGGTTTTATTTATTTATTTTTATGTGGTTCTGAGGCCTGAATCCAGTGCCGCACACATGCAAGGCAAGTGCTCTGCCACTGAGCTAAAACCCCAGCCCCGAAAGATTGTTTTTTTAAAAAATGCTTTTAATAACATTTATGCATAAAGGAAAAACTTGTATTTTAAGAAATTATGTAGACTATCTAATTTCTGGGTTATCTAGCAAATTAGACATGCAAAATCCAAGTAAATAAATGAATCCCAGATAAATGAGGTGTTTTATGTAACTAGGAGTCCCTTAAAAAATCAATTCCAAAACTTTTAAGATTTTTTAAAAGTATAAAATGTTTGGACATAAAGTGATAATATGAATAATTATATATATTATATTGTTATTTGCACTCCTGGGGTCTTACACATTGTCTAGTTCACAAAATAAATACTTATTAAACAAATCCTTCAGAGATCCAGATTTTTTAAAAAAGCAACTGAAATTTTAAATATTAGAACTATCTTTATTAATTATTATGAGAGGGTTTATCAAACATCTGATTTACCAATGAATACTCTGAATTTGTCATGTTTATCATGTCTCATTGAAATCAACCCTTTTTCCGACTATTTCTAAGGTCATGATCATTGTGCTATTCCTGAAGAACTTCTCAGAAAGACTTCTTCAAAATTACTTAATTTGTATATTTTTACTGGTAAAAGAACATTAGGATACCATTTGTTTGTGCCAGATTCAGTGCAGCTTTACTGTCTTGCAGATCTCCACCCGTAATCATAAACTGAAATAGAAAGACGAGAAATAAGCTGATTTTATCAGGGCATCAACAGTTTTCCCAAACACTCCTTCCTACTACTTCTTCGCAGCAAAATGCCTTTTCCTTTTATCATCCTGTACCCACATTCCTTTAAAATTCAGCTGGGGGGCTGGGGATGTGGCTCAAGCCGTAGCGCGCTCGCCTAGCATGCGTGCGGCCCAGGTTCGATCCTCAGCACCACATACAATCTAAGATGTTGTGTCCGCCAAATACTAAAAAATAAATATTAAAATTCTCTCTCTCTCTCCCACTCTCTCCCTCTCTCTCACTCTTTCTTTAAAAAAAAAAAAATCAGCTGGGAAGATCGTGTAGAATGACACCTGACTGTTCTACACACACAGTCCACAGGAAAATTTGTCACTCCTCCCTAATACAGTGCACTCAGATGTCAGTCTCTGATAGACCTTGAGTTCCTTGAGGTCACAGATCATATATTATAAAAGACTGAATAACTAAAGATCTGTGAATTTAGAATCCTGTTAACATAAATCAGTGATCAGCTATATCAGTAACTCAGTAATGTCGATTAATTCAAAACAGTTCTCCAAGTGTAGTCCAGGAACTCCTACGAGGTATGTGAGGTTGAAACTATTTTCACAATAATACTAAAATTCTATTTGTCTTTTTTCACTCTCATTATGTGACAGTGAGTGAGATTTTCCCAGAGGCTGCATGATGTGCAACAGACTGACTACAGAAACAGATGTGATAATTCAGCATACTTCTATTCACTCAGCCATTAAAAGATTTGAAAGAATGTAAACAACCCACATAAACAAAAGCTTTTGGGGGGGCTTAGTAAAATTTAAGAATGTGAAATCGTTCTGAGACTGAGAAGTTTGAGAATTGTTGAATTAATGTAATGTACCATAACAAAATCTCTGTAGGGAATTTATGGCTCTTGGAAGTTAAACATATTTCTAGAAAGACAGCTATCAGAACTCATCCAATGGTTAATGCCATCTTTGCTAATCTGTCAAAATGAAAATGTCACTGAAGAGCCATGTGTTGATGATGACTACTGAGCAGTGCTGTTTAAGGTCCACACTCTTCTGAAGAAGAGATTTGAGCTCACTCCTGGATATTTTGTAAAGCATACTTCAAGGGTATTCACTAAGTTAAAGTGCAGAATTCAAGCTAGTTATGGTGGCACATGACTGTATTCCCACAGACTCGGGAGGCTGGGATAGCAGGATCACAAGTTTGAAGCCAGCTGCAGTTAAACTTAAAAGACCCTCAGTAACTGTAAGATCCACCTCAAGACAAAAATTTAAAGACTGGGATGTAGCACCTCTCATTTCAATCCCAGTACCAAAAATTTTAAAAATTAAAAAATAAATAAAACGCAGAATTCATTTAGGTACAAATGAATTCTAAAGAGAATACATACAAATACAAAGACAGTGGTGAATGATAAATAGGTATTTTCATATAGCAACTCAAACCTCTAATATGATGACATTGAACATCTATCTATTCAGGGAATGTGTAGTCACAATTAAATCCCCAACTGCGTATAGAACATAGGATATAAAATATTTTTAGAAATATTGGGAAAACTTTCTTGTTTATTAACATTACCTAATTCTTTAAAACCAGACCAGTTGCCCTATATAGTATTTTAATTTCGTAAAAGTTTTTAATCAAGTCTACTTTTTACATTACCTGTAACTTTTCCATGTAGTGGAAATAAAATAAGGGCAAGAGTAGAGGACATAACTCCCTCTCTCAGAGTACAAGGACAATGCTTATCTGAAAATGGTGGCATCCACTGCATGAGTAAAGAAGTTTGTTTACTTTATGCCAGGTATAACACCAAGCATTTCTCCATTGAATATTTTATTTAACCTTCCCAATTCTATTAGTTAAGTACTATCATCATCCCCACCCCTTTTCAGGGTACCGGGGATTGAACTCAGGGGCACTCAAACACTGAGCTATATCCCCAGCCCTGTTTTGTATTTTATTTAGAAACAGGGTCTCACTGAATTGCTTAGCACCTCGCTTTTTGCTGAGGCTGGCTTTCAACTTGCAATCCTCCTGCCTCCGCCTCCCCAGCCACTGGGATTACAAGTGTGCACCACTGTGTGTGGCTTATTAATTCCTTTTAATGGATGAGAAAACTGAAATCTAGAGAGAGAAAATATTCCAAATTACAAAGTATGAATGAAGCTGGAGCTAGAACCCAGGTTTGTGATGTTGTAACTGTGTTTTTAGCCACTATATTATTTCTGTAAGATACTGATGAAATTCCAACTTGGAACAAATTCACTTCAGTTTTATTATTCCTGTTCAGTAGTTTATATAGGTTTGTATGTGAGTAATTAGAAGTGAGAAGAATAAGCTGGGCACAATGGTACACACCTATAATCCCAGCAACTCAGGAAGGTGAGGCAGAAGGATCATAAGTTGAAGGTCAGTCTCAGTAATTAGTGAGACCCTGTCTCAAAATAAAACAAAAAAAGGGCTGGAGTTGTAGCTCAGTTATAAAGCACCCTTGTGTTAAATCCCCAGTACTGCACCCCTGCAACACACATACACACAAAGTGTAAAGAATAAACTATTCATTGCTGACACATGAAAGTTAGGTACTTGGTATTTCAGTTTGCAGAAAAGCATCATATAAAGTGATTTACCAAGAGGGCGTGAACACATATAATGAGAAATTCAAGTAACTTCTATTTTTTTCATATTACTTATAAATAATTGCTAATACAATTTTAGGTTTAAGATTATAGAACTCATTTAGTCAATAATGTCATTCTTTAGCATCGAGGGTATTCACCTTAGAATTTATACCATATTGTATGCATGTGTGGGCTAATTTACTATTTTAAAAACTAATTTGAACCCAAGGCTTTATGTGTGTTAGGCAAAGCTTTACTGGTGAACTACACTCCCATCCACCTTAAAATTTTTTATTCATTTATGCAGCAATACTGGAGATTGAGCCCAGGTGCTTTATCATGCACAGACAGAAGTGTGAAGAATAAATTATTCATGGCTGACACATGAAAGTTTAGGTACTTGGTATTATCCCCAGTCCTCTTCGTTTTGAAACAGGGTTTCGTGAAATTGCTAAGGCTTGAATATTCTATCCTCTGGCCACAGTCTCCCTAGTCACTGGACCCATGGGTGTGGGTGTGTGCCACCACACCCAGCTGGTCATGTGCCACCACACCCATGTCTTTTTGATGATCACTTAATTCTAACAAATAGAAAACTTACTAAAAGTTGCCTTTTAAGAAGCCTAGTACTTCATACAGATTTACCACTTATTGCATTACTGATCACATGAAAGAACTATACACGAGGTTTATGTAACTTAAAATGCTGTGACAGAATACTATATTTAATTTCTACTAACTTGAGAATATTGCATGTAGACAATATATATTCTAAGTGTGTAGTATTGGCTTCTACCCTTTTATTCTGTGAAATTTTAACTACAATTTATTTTAAACATAAAAAAACCCAAGAATAACAAAAAACAGATGTTACCTTTTTAACACCAGTCTGGATAGCTCTCTCTATTACATCCTGTAAATCATCTGTACAAAACAAACCATTCATAAAGAAAACTTAATAAATAAAAATTCACTTATCTATAATTTGATCATCTCTTCTTGAAATAAAAATATATAGAAGTAATCATATGTACTACATCAAAATCAAATCAATACTGTTTGAAGAATAGTTGTCACATAATACTAGAAATAGCAAAAAGCTTAACAAAAAAAGAAAAAGAAACCAATATAAAGCAAACTAGATGAATAATAAACTATTAATCGAATTGCATTTTTATTCAGAGAGAAAAATTAGGAGACTCAAAAGATGAATTTGGTAACTACAACTTAAAAGTCACTTGTCTTGAATTTGAAATTTAGCAATGTATTTTTTAAAAAGTAATTTATTTGGGGTAGGAGTGTGGCTCAGTGGTAGAGCTCTTGCCTACCTAGCATGGGTGCCTTGTTTTGATTCCAAGTACCACAAAAAACAAAAAAAGAAAACAATTATTAAGATTGTTTATTTTTACTAGGGTTTTCCTGCTTGCAGTGCCTCCCAAAATATGACATAACATTTTTTTATAAATCTCAGTTAATTCTATATTTCTATAATTACCATTGCCATTAAGGAAAGATAATCTGTTTTCTGTTTTCCTGGACAGTTGTTTTTTTGCCTTTTCCTATCATTCATTGTTAAATATTGTAAACGATACATTTTTCTGGGGAGAGTAAGCTCTGAGAGGCCGAAATAATTGAAGAGCAAAATAAAATAATCATATATAAAATCCATTTTTTATTCACATTACTCATCAGAGCAAATGTGATTGGAATTCAGTTGATATTACTTCTGAAATACCTACAAAATTTCTTTTAGACAGAAATACCAACTTACGCAGCTTCTGCTAAGTACATCAACTGGTTTTGCCGGCTACTATAAGCTGCAGTAATGCTAATATTGACCACAAAAAATTTATTTCATAAACACACATATAAACATACATACACATATAATCACAAAGCATGAAATTCATTAAGTGCTAAAAAGGCAAGAAGAGTAGAATATATGTTAGTCTATAGTCCAACTGTACTGTGATAGTAGGAGCAAATGTGACTCCATTTTGTTTTATGACTTCATCCTGTAAAACAACTATGCCAAGTAGAAAAGTCATGACTGGGGCAAGATGTTCTTTTCCTTTTGCTATAGAAACCTTTAAGAACATGGAACTACTTAATGGGGCATTGTTTCTATAACTAGGGTGACTGGGCTAACTGTGATTGGTTAGGCTTCCCTCCGCTTGACTGCACTGTCCCGCTTCTGTAACCTGGCTTGCTTGCATTGGCTAGACCCCCTGAACATCCCTTTTGCAGTTTTCAGGCTTATAAGGAGTGCCCTTGCAATTGTTTGGGGCTGATCAGGGGAACAGCTTTATGTTCTGGTCAGTCGCCACCGGTGTGCTTCAATAAAGGCTTGATTCGATTATACATGAGTGGTCTGGAAGTCAGTTTATGAAACCCTGGTACGAAGCTTTAAGTATAACAGTACTATGTAAGTAACACATAAAGATGTCATCCAAAATTCTAAGAAAAATAGAAAAGGTAATTTTTGAGATTAGGCTTAAGAAAGCTAAGTTACTTTTCTTCTTTCAAGTGACATCTAACACCTACTACTACCTGGTAGCACAGGAAGATTAGTTTCTGACTTGGCTTACTGAAATGTGTAATTCTACTTCATCCACAACCACAAAACCAACATTTCCTGTTTGCATTTACATAATAAGTAGAGTTATTTTTCTAAGGCAATATTCAAGACTTAGCTTATTGTAGAAATTCTGCCATTAAAACCTGTTGCTGCCATCATTCCTTGCCTAGTCTTACAAATGAACTTTAAAGATAAATATAAGCCATTTTGCCTTTGGCTAGGCCCTCCCTCAATCTTTAAAGTACTACTACCTGCTCTTCTAATACAGTAGGTATTTAAGTAGAAATGTGGATGAAAGGGGGAAAAGCAAAATAGGAAACCAGATAGCATTATATCTCCTTCTCAAACATGCTCCTACTTGTCACTCACTGAAAATGTTTTTGAAAAACTAGATACACTGATGTTCTATAGTAACTGATTTTTGGATTCTGTGTCCTAATGTTCATTTGCTTAATGGCTTACTATCTACTGGGCTTGCACACCTGGAATTCCAGAGACTCAGGAGGATGAGGCAGGAGGATTGTGAATTTAAGGTCAGCCTTAGGAACTTAGTGAGGCACAATCTCAAAATTGAAAAAAAAAAAAAAGGCTAGGTGGTAAAGTGCCTCTGAGTTCAATCCCCAGAACCACTCTGTCCCACAAAAAGACTAAATACCAACTATTATTTGTTTTTTGTGCATGAGATTACTTGAAGTACTATACTCAAAACTAAACTTCTATAGATAAGAAGGGCTGGACTAACACAGTTTTAATGGGTACCTTATAAGTAAGTGTTCAGGATCATGTTTTACCAATATAGCTTGTGTGTGATTCATTGATAGTTTTACCCAAGTTGCATATGACTTCTTTGGTTTTTTTTTTAACCATCAAATTCTATATGTTACTTTTTTTTAAATTGGTTCTTTTTAGCTATACATGACAATAAAATCCATTCTGATATTATTATTCAATCACAATAACCTCTTTAATATTTTTATTTTAATTTAACTTGGTTATGCTTTTCAAGATCAGCTTAAGGCAGAAAATTTGTCTTTACAGAAGAACTATTAATAAAAAAAACTTACCTTGATGCTTCTGAACCCCCCTATAAATTCCTCGGAACATAGGATCTGTCAAGTTGACACCAATATCTGCAGAGATCCAAAAAAGGTAATCCATTAATCAATAAAAGTCTTTATTTGAATCTTTAAAAAATAAACTCCTATTATTGAATTTGTACTCACTAACTCATTCATTCGAACAGTATCCAGCTGCTAGCCACTTGTTAGTACTCTGCTAGATCCATGGGATACAAAGATGAATAAAATGTATCCCTGTTCTTAAAAAACTCACTGCAGAATTGGTAAGGCAGATACATTAATAGGCAATTTTGAAATATTAGAAGTGAACACTGAAGCCATCCATGGTGGCACATGCCTATAATCCCAGCTACTTAGGAGTTTGAAGCAAGAGGATTACAAATTCAAGGCTAGCCTCAACAATTTAGTGAGACCCAGTCTCAAAAGAAAAAGGACTGAGGATATAGCTCTGTGGGAGAGCACTTGCACAGCCCTTGATTCAATTCCCAGTACACACACAAAAAAAATTTTTTTAAGAAATAACACTGGTGCTGTGGGGCAGAGAAGAGGAACATCCAACCTAGTCTGGCGGCTGGCTCAGAAGAGGTTTCCAGAAAGAAGTAATCACTGAACTGAATCTAAAAGGATGAGTTCTACCTAGTAGAAGAGAGGAGACTACGACAGACAGCAAAGCCTTCAGGGTGTAAAACAATACAGTACTTGAGAGAGCTACAGACTTTTCCAGCTGGTGGAAAGAAGCAAGTAAAATGGGTTAGCCAGGAGAGGCTACACCAGTTATGTAACAGACACTTGTCTTTAAAAACAAACAAAAATAGCTGGCTTTGCTAAAAGTGACGTCAAGAATTAATAAGTTTTATTTTTCAAAAGAAAACAGACTGGACAATTCCCTGATGGTAATTAAGAGGAAACTATACCTCTAAACTAAAGCCTCACTTTTTGGGCTCAGTAAATCATGTCAAATCACTCAGCAAGTAGGACATTTAAAATTGTTTCAGATTTCGTTAACCTGTAGATAAAACTTCAAGTTTACATGAAACACAGGTAATTAAAGAACAAGCAAAACAATCTAAAAGATAGGACATTCTGTGGGACAACTGGCTAAGTTCCTTCAGCACCACAAAAAAGAACCATTAAAGGATTTGCAAACTCCTGCCTGCAGCCCACTTCCTATTTTTATTTGCCCCCCAGCTGAGAATGATTTTGCATTTTAAATAATTGAAAAAAAATCAAAAGAATATTTTGTGACATATGAAAATGACAAAAAATTCACATTTCAAGTCCATAGTTTTATTGGAACATAACCACATCTGTTTGTTTATATGTTGTCTGTGGCTGCTTTTGAATGACAGGAGTGAGATAGGACAAACACAATTGCTGTCTCCTAGTATACTCTCACATCCACAACACTGTGAATACATCACACACACCCCACACTGAACCCAGGGATGCTTAACCACTGAGTCACATCCCTATTCCTTTCTATATTTTATTTAGAGACAGGGTCTCATTAAGTTGCTCAGGGGCCTTGCTAAATTACTGAGGCTGGCTTTGAACTTGGGATCCTCCTGTCTTAGCCTCTGGAGCCGCTGGAATTACAAGCATGCGCCACCCTTAATACATCTTTTATGATACTAGATGTGGGAGTGTTATCTTCCCCACAACAACCAATTCTCCTGTGTGTCTACAATTTAACTCTATTCTGACACTCTCTGCCTAGAAAAAGTATCAGATCTCACAGGTTAGGGGCTCAGTCCCATGAGACTTCCCCCCTTTACCCCCTGACCCCCAACTTCAGACACCAATGGAAAGTAATAAATTTCCAGGTATCCATAACTTCTGTGTGACTTGGCTATAAATCAGAAGTCCCTGCAATCCCCTTAGAGGGCTTGATCATTTGCTAGAGCAGTTCACAGAACTCAGGAAAATACTCTACTTTCAATTACCTATTCATTATAAAAGAAAACAACTCAGAACAGCCAGATGGAAGAGATGCACAGAGCTAGGTTTGGGGAGAACGAGAGTGACATTTCCATGTCCTCTGTGGCATACAACATACTCCTAGCTCCTTCCACAGGTATTCAGTAACCTTGAAGTTTTCCAAACCCTATCCTTTTGAGATTTTACAGAGATTTCATTATATAGGTATGACTGAGCAAATCACTGGCCACTGGTGAACAACTCCACCATCAGTTCCTCTTCCCTTCCCAGAGGTGAGGGTGGATAGGACTGAAAGTTTAGAAAGTTTCAACACTCTAATCATAGGGTCAGTTTCCACAGCAAACTGCCCCCACCCTAAATTATCCAGGTACCCCCAATCACCAGTCATCTCATCAGCATACAAAATAATACATCACTTAGGAGATTCCAAGATTTTAGGAGGTACAAGCGGGGCAGAGATCAAAACTTTATTTATTGGGCTAGGGTTGTGGCTTAGTAGTAGAATGCTCGCCTGATACTTGTGAGGCACTAGGTTCAATCCTCAGAACCACATAAAAATAAATAAAATAAAGGTATTGTGTCCATCTACAACTAAAAATTTTTTTCTAAATTTATTTATTATGTCACATTATCATATAAGGGCAGAGTTGAATATAAACACATCTAAGTTGAAAACATCATTAAGTCAAAATGCATTTAATATACCTAATCTACAGAACATCACAGCTTTGTCTACCAACCTTATACATGCTCAGAACATGACATTATCCTATAATTGGGCAAAATCACCTAACACAAAGCCTATTTTATAATAAAGTGTTGATATGTAATTTGTTGAATTCTGAAATAAAAAACAATAGTTGTATGGATATGGTTTCATCCCACTGTAAAGTCAAAAAATCATTAAGTTGAATCATTATGAGTAAGGGCCATGTATAGTTACAACAGAAATTATATGGCCCATAAAGTATAAAATATCTACTACATATAGATAGAGCCTTTTAAAGAAAAAGTTTGCAAACTTTTTTGCCAACTTAAAAAACTTAAGGAACAAATGCAAACAGCAGGCTTTGTCTTGCTCTGAGTTAATCCATGATGAATAGAATAGTAGTTCTCAGGCTGTGCCTAACCTAAATTACTCTATTTTATAAAGCAGTAGTTTGGCATGAGTATAAGTTCTGAGGTAGAATTACTACCTATACTTTATACCGTACTATATACTGTACTATACTTCGTACAAGTAAACAACCACCATCTGTCTAGCCAATCATAAGTCACAAAGTGATAAATTAACAGTGCTAATAAAAGTGACCACGTGTGAACTTATCAAATGAAATCAGAAGCCAATGGGTGTATGCACATATCAACCCCATATCAGAAAAGCCAGGCCCATGAGCTTATCAAAAACACCAGAGCCAAGCATGATCATGCACGCCTATAATCAGGAAGCTGAGACAGGAGGATCATGAGTTCAAAGCCAGCTTCAGCAAAAGCAAGGCACTAAGACTCAATGAGACTGTCTCGCTAAATAAAATACAAAATAGAGCTGGGGATGTGGCTCAGTGGCCGAGTTGCCCCTGCGTTCAATCCCTAGTACCCCAAACATAAAATAAGTTTTAAAAAACATCAGAGCACTAAATGAAGCAAAAACCTCACCTGAGAACCATTAAAGGAGAAGCACTCCAAGATGACACAGTGACATCTGATCCCACTTACTTGGTCACTCATTAGGAGCCCTGCCCATGAATCTAATTCTGTCTCTGGGGTTCAGCTCAGCAGGTTTCTCCTCTTGCCCATAAAGATGACAAATGGCCCATTCCTAGCTGACACCTCAGGCTGACACTCCAAACTGACATTCTGAAACTGCCAGATGCTCTGCCTAGAGGACTCTGTGGAACTGGCTTGTTAAAACCCTTAGTGACCCCCTATAGCAACTCTTTGCATTCTATCTGCTCTCAGTTCAGCCTCCAGAACCCTGTGGTCACATTAATCCTCCCAGTAGCCTTCCTGGTGTATGTGTGTGTGTACATATGTACAGAATTATGTAAAGTTTGATGTGTTGAGTATTATAGATATTAGTAAATAAGATTGGAATAAAAGAACCTGTGATTCTCCAGCTTACGATTATCAAGTGATATGAGTTTTAGTGAATTGTTATTTCCATAAGTTATTTGTTATTCCAATAAGTTCTGATATTGTGGAAAGACACACATCATTTGGTCTATGTTACTGGCACAGTTCACTCAGACAACCAAATGTGTGGCTCTCAACTGGATACGATTCTGGACATGACCATCTGTGAAGGACATTTTGGGAAGAATTTGGAAAACTGGAGTATGATTTTGGTATTAAGATGAAAACTTCAGGAAATGGAAAAAGGGAGACTATGATTTTTTTTAAAAAAAAAGCAAATTACAAAAGGTTTTATATGACTTTATTTTGTTTTATATGTTCAGAGAAGATCTGGAAAGATAGCCACTGAGATACTATGTTTGATCTAGGAAATGGATTATGATGATTTTATTTCTTGTTGTATTTTGCATTTTCTTCTTGCAAAGATATTATTTCTCATGTTTTTGGTGTGTTGTATAGAATAACTTAGAATCTATGCAGTAGAGGTTTTAGCACATAATTGTCATAGCTGAAAGTATTTTTGAGAGTAGAAAAGGTGAGTACAGTGGCACATGCCTATAATTCCAGTTATTCAAGAAGGGGAGGAAAGAGGATTGCAAACATAAGGCCAGCCTGGGCAACAGTGAGACCCTGTGTCAAAAACAAAAAAACAGCAGGAGGTGGAAGTGCAGCTAAGTAGTGGAACATGTGCTTAGCATAAACAAGGTCCTGAGTTTGTTCCCAAAACTACACACACACACACACACACACTCACAGAAGAGTGGAAGAGTTTGTAAATGATATTTAGTTGGGGAATAGAATATTTTAAAATCCCACTTTTCAGGAAAGAAATCCACATTCTGGTACCAGCTTCAGCACAGTTAAGTTTGGCTCTGGGAAGAGAATAGAGAGGAGGCCCAGAGACAGAGAAGTCTAGGGCAAATGAGCAGTATGCCAAAGCCCTTCTGAATTCACAGCTGTCCTTCATATTAAAAGGTGGTGGAGGGTGGAGGTACCTCCCAGAAGGGGAAACTCTTGATGGGTTTGAAGGGTTTTTTGGTACTGAGGAAACCTAGGGTTTCACTCATGCTAGCAAGTGCTCTACTATTGAGCTATCTCACCAGCCCTTTCTCAAAAAATTTATTTTGAAACAAGGTCTTGCTCAGTCTCTGAAAGAGCTGAGATTAAAAGTATATGCCACTGCACCTGACTCCTCGTGTTTTATTTCAGGAAATTAACTTACATTACATATAACAAGTTAAATAAAATAAATAGAATTCCAAATTTCTCAGTGACATATTTTTCTTAGCCTTAGAGGAATCTCTTCTGGTGAAGAAATCACAAATTCAGCAATTCCTTAGTTTTTCTCTGTTCAAATATAATTCCTTTTCTTTCCACTTGAGATGACAAATATGGTAAGATGCCATTTAGAAAATATTTTCTGTCTTGCTCTACATATAGATAGAAGTTCTGAAATGTTATTTTTTATCAGTTTATTTCAGAGGTGGGATTTTAGGTGAAGTGTTGCTTTCTTTTTTTTTTTCTTTTTTTTAAGGAACAGGTGTGAACAAAGGTCAGATGTTCCTTTTTTTTTTTTTTTAAGAGAGAGAGAAAGAGAGAGAGAATTTTAATGTTTATTCTTTTAGTTTTCGGCGGATACGACATCTTTGTTTGTATGTGGTGCTGAGGATCGAACCCAGGCCACATGCATGCCAGGCGAGTGCGCTACTGCTTCAGCCACATCCCCAGCCCCTGAAGTGTTGCTTTCTTTTATTTTTCTAGAATGTTAAAATTTTTAGTAGGTCATTCATATAAATAATAAAAGTCATTTTTTTTTAAAAAAAGTACCATTAAACAAAAATATTGGAACCTGTTAACTGGATAAAGATATTGCCCTAAAGCCCCAAGAAATCATTTCAAACCAATATGGGGTTACTCAGATAAATGCTACATCATTAAAATAAAAGCAGAAGACCCCAAACAGACCAGCTTTCCTAAAAACAGGAGATTCCAGTCTTCCCGAGTCAGGGTAATAAAAGTGTCCTCTGCTTCCACACTTACAAAAAAGCAACTTGATGTTAATCAATCTGTTTTTTCCTATTGTTGTTTCCTTGCTCCCACCTTATAAAACTTACTGTTCTGCTATCCCCTAGAGAGAGCTCTCTTTTTTGTGGAATGGAAGCTGCCTTGCTTGATTCATGAATTGTGAATAAAAGCTAATTAGATCTATTGACTAAATTTGTTGTAATTTTCTCTTTTAACAGTAATTATTTCAAAATGACGACAAAAACCTCTGCCCCTACCCCTACCCCTCTTGTGGTCCTGGGGATTAAACCAGGGCCTGGTACAATGCTACCAAGAGCAAGACCTAAGAGCAAGGCTTTGGTACCTTGGTGTTCAGAACATAAGGAAACATGTAGTCTATAATTAGAATCCTACTACAGACTTGTAGTCAGGAAGAGAACTTATGTGGTGCTACTCCTGTGTAGCCTAATAGGAGGTTAGGCTACACAGACACACCTAATCACATTCAGAGCCCCAGGCTTAGAGCTATAGTTTGGATCTTAAGTGTCCCCCAAAGGCTCATGTGTTAAGTTTGCTCCGCAGAATTGCACTACTGGGAAGTGGTGGAAACTTAGACAAATTCTATTTTCCATGCTCTTGCCCACTTCAGAAACAATGTGTGGGCATAATTTGAAGGGGGAAACTGCTTGTTATGCAACCAGAGAAGAGGGAAATGGGGAGTCAATTGGACTAAGCCAAATCTAAGGCCACTTTCATAACACTGGTTTAAGTTTTCATGCAATTGTTCCACATAAGCTTGTTCATGATCTTCCATGAGTCTAATATGGTGTTTTTCAAAGTAGTACTCATGACTAAGCTAAGAAGTGAGTGTAGTATTTCACAGGGAGTGTTTTTCTTTTTCTTTTTTTTTTTTTTTTATGTATATGTGTGTTGTGATGCTAGGAATCAGATACAGGAACTAGAACATGCTACATCCCTAGCCCTCAGAAAGTGGTTTTTAAATGACAAAAGATTAAATATCAAAGTTATATAACAAAGTGGAATGTAGTATGACCCCAATTTTGTAATTTTTAGAAATGTTTGTGTATGTTTTTATGCATCTATATAAAATTATTTTAAAATTATAGAAGGATACATTTTAACAATTACATGGAGAGTAGAATTGAGAACCACACACACACACACAAAAAAAAGTCTAATTGTAATTACTTACAATTGAAGTCACCTTTTCTCTCTTATCTGGTTTTAATTTCTTTATCAATTTTCTCATCATGTTAGCACTAAAGTCACATACCTTCTTTTACTTACTGATTCATATTTCCATTGACCACTGTACTAAGTCCCCAGGAAACAATGATAAATGCCAGTATTTGCCTTAAAAAGAGTTTGGACTACTGGGAAAGGCAGATTCATAAATATTTAATTATAAATAATTTGGTAAAGGGCAGAGTATAAAATCTTAAAAGAATATGTTAAAAAGTGAGGCAACATTTTAAAACCTTGTCAGAGGTGAGAAAGAGACAATGTCCACAGGACACAAAAGGGGTGAGGCTGGAAAAGTAGGCAGGCCCAGACTGCAGAAAGGCTTCCTCTGCTTTTAGGGCAATTCAGATATCCTCTGAAAAGTAATGGAAACCTCTGAAGCAAGAGAAAAATTTAGTTGATGTTTTTAGATAGACCACTCTGGAGCCTATATGGAGAATGGATTCAAAGAAACATGACTTGAGACAGGGAATTAGCTCTATACCACAAACACATACTTTTTTTTTTTAATGTCCCTATCTCTGTGCAGTGTCCCATGGTTCTCTATTCCATCTCCCCCATCAATTATATCACAGATGGTGGTAGAGAGGCAGAGATATCACATCATTGAAAATGTCTTACAACCTTTCAGGACCCCCTCAGCCCCCACCCTAGACTCTCTTTTAACATTTTTAAAACATCTTTTATGGTACTAACATTCTCTCTTGGATTTCCTTTGACTGTACATAAGTCTTACATCTCCTATCAGAAAACTGCACTACTAGATTTTTTTCTATAATGACACAGTATTTAACAAAACGTCTTTGGGAAAACATTATGCTTAATTAACTAAGATCTAAGTTTATAACATTAACCACTCCCTTGAGTGCCTGAATGATATCTCCACCTGCATCTCCTTAATCTTAAATGGGCCTAATCCCAATGGACTTGGGTGTTTCTCCACCTACTGCCAAATCAGCCATGCTTCCATTCAATATTTAGGTGTCTATTCAAACCCTGAGTCATTTTTGACAGTTCATTGTCCATTATCTGCCCTGAACACTCAGCTACTAAATGCTGTGCACATCTCTTCCATTTCTCTTTTCCTTTGCCTTAGTTCAAGATCTGAAATGCTTCCCTGTATTTTCCTATCCCCTACTAAATCTGCATAATGGCTATCAGGATTACCCTACTAAGGCAGATATGATTCACCTTTTAAATAGCTGGAAACTCCACAAGGATCATGTCCAGCTTTACACACTGCTATATACTAGAGCACAAGATTGTTGGCACAAAACCAGCACACAATGAATGTTCTTTATGAAAACCCCTCAGTGTAACTCCACTCTAAACAGAGTGAAACTAAATGAGACTCTTGGATCCCAAGTTACCTTTCCAATTCTAGCTCTTACAATGTCCTTCGAATGTTTCTAAGTGATTGGAAATAAAGATTCGTACCCTTTGGGATCCCTGTGGCATTCTCCCTTTCGTTCTACTGGTGATTAATGGATGGTTTTACTTCCCAAGTAACAGAATTTGGTTCTCCTTACTACTTGTGGCCCCCAGTCTGTCCATCAGATGGTGGTGCTAGCAGCACCAGGACCAGGTTTTTGTGCCCTGTGTCCCCAGAACAATGTTAAGCCTACCAGAGAGACTCGGTAACTGTGTTATGAGTGAATAACTGCGTGGACGGGTTCCTCGAGATCCTAATCCTCTTGGTCACAGTGACCGGGAGGGACGAGGTTGGGGGACAGAAGGGAATATAGCGATTAGCCTTTGGGACTGTGTTTTCTTCCTTTTACCCTCGCCCTTCCTTTTTGTGATGCTGGGTATTGAAGTCAGGTTCTCGCGCACGCGAGGGAATCAGTGTACCCGGGCGCTTCCCCTGAACTAAATCCCAGACCCACGTCCCCCACATCCACACTACAGGGGATTCAACCCAGGGGCGCTCTACTACTGAGCTACATCCCCTGCCCTTTTTATTTTGGTACAAGGTCTAGTTTAGTTGCTGAGGCTGGCCTCGAGATCTCCTGCCTCAGTCCTCCCAGTAGCTGGGATTATAGGTGCGCGCCGCGGCACCCGGCTCTGCCTCCTTTTTAAGTTGAATGCGACATATGCGTTCAAAAGACACGAATCCTAGATGTATGGCCTGTGAGCTTTCACAAATAAATACACTCGTGAAACCAGCACTCGGGTCATGGACCCTAACACTCATTTTCAAGACCCAGAGGCCTCCCCGCACCCTCTCCCATTGCGTGGCCTTTTCGACTCTCAAAGAGCCGGAGTGCGCAGGTCCTGGGCCCTCTGGTTGCGGTGACAGTCGCCCTGAACGGGTCAGAACAGCACAAGGACCGGAGAAGCCTCGCCTTACCGATGAACTTGAAGCGACTCATGACAGCGCCACAGGCTCCTCCTCGGCGGAAGCGGAAGTGCCCACAGACCGGTCCGCTCTTCCGGCCACTGGTCCCGCCCCTCAGTCGCGGACGCCCCGGTTCCCGGCAGCCCTCGCGGCTGCTGAAGGAGAGCGGGGCCGTTATGGCGTTCTCGGCGCCTACCGCCTATCTGACCCACCAGCAGAAGGTGTTGCGGCTTTATAAGCGGGCGCTGCGCCACCTCGAGTCGTGGTGTGTCCACAGGTGGGAAAGGGGCGTTCGTGGCTCGGGACGTGACCCTGGGGGCGGGGGGACGCCGGGCAACCAGGCGCTCAAGGACTTTGGGGACGGAGCGGGAGGGTGACGTCTCGCCCCTCAGAGCCGGCCCTTGGACCTGGGTCTGCTACCGACTTCGCCGCCCAGAGCTCCTGGACTTTGAAGAGGAGCTGTTCTGATGGGGGCTTCAGCCCGGTCCAGTGAAACCAGCGCAGGACCCGGCGCACAGGGTTGCACTAAGATGAAGTCCAAGGAAAGCTTTCTTCGTGATCTTGTGGTTCTTAATATGTCAACAATAGTATATATGGCATTTCCTTTAGTCCGTAAAACAACGCAGGAGTTGGGGATTATTTTAGCTTTGTTGTACAGATGCGCAGAGAGAAGCACTGGGAGTAATTCGCTGAAGACGGAACAGCTACCAATGTCGAGCCGTGACTCCAAAGCATCATCATTCTCTTATCCTTCCCACCATCTTTTTTCTGGTTACATTCCCATATTTTTCACCTCCCACGTAATTCTCTTTCCTCTTCTTTTTATCTGAGAACAATGCTGTTACAATATATCGATTTTTGTGACCTAAATGCAATGCAAGGTGGAGTGACAACCCGCCTTGTGTGAATGCTTGGCTTCCGGTCTTTTAACAGAATAATCCCAAAACCTAGTTCCAAGTGAAGAACTTCTGGGAAAAACCTCTGGATAATGAAAACTGCATAGGCCTGAAAGAGTTGTAGTGGGTATTCTCGAAGCTCAGATTGCATATTGCTTTTTATACTTCCTTTGGTGGGCAGGATGATGGCCAGATACAATGTCATACAATTGTCCACCCCACTGACAGTTTTTTTTTTTTTTTTTTTTTAGTTGTAGTTAGACATAATACTTTTATTTATTTATTTTTATATGGTGCTGAGGCTTGAACACAGTGCCTGGCACATGCTAGAGCCACAACCCCAGCACTCCTCTCTCCACCACACACACACAATTTTTCTTATTCGATTTTCTTTTAACATGATTGGCACCTTAGGATCTATGCTGGATGCCAAATAAATATTAGTTAATCCCTTCTTTGAGCTGCAGCAGTTCATGGATTAATGGGGGAGGTGGACATGTAAATAAATACATAAGAGACTTGTCAATCTTGTGAAGAAAGTTAAGCCGTCAGAAATTCAGGTAATGCTGAACTATAGCTGAAAATATTAGAAGTATCTAATCATGGTGTGGTGCAGAGGAAGCAATCATGATATGGCAGCTCCATTGGTAGGAATGGGGGTGGGGTGCCAGGAAGTTACACTGATCATCCAGGTTGGGGTTAGTGGGAGTATAACTCCTGTCAGACTGTGCTATACTGCTCACTTGAGTAAATAACATTTCTACTCTCCAAAATCATTTTATTTAAGGGATAAATACCGGTACTTTGCTTGTTTGTTGAGAGCCCGGTTTGAAGAACATAGGAATGAAAAGGATATGATGAAGGCCACCCAGCTGTTGAGGGAAGCAGAAGAAGAGTTCTGGCACAGTCAGCACCCACAGCCATATATCTTCCCTGACTCTCCTGGGGGCACCTCCTATGAGAGATATGAGTGCTACAAGGTAGGTGAGGATGTTAGTGGTGAGTGCTTTCTGAGAGGCAGAGGCAGTGTTTATTTCCCAAACCTCAGTCTTCTATACCACTAGGAGATTTCTTTCCATACAGTTGTTAGATACTTTTTTTAGGTGTCAGTTTTCTCCTAAATGTCACAAAGACTTTTCTTTCTAAAATCTGCTCTGAGGTCTTTCAATATAGTTTTTGGCAAAGTAAAGCTAAATTATTTGATAAATAGTTCATTTGCGGATCTTACTTAATGTATTGCGACTGGTACTTAATATTCTGAGATACTCTTAAGTAATACTTCCAAATAACAAAACCACTGTGGTTATTTAGAAATTGCAAGTGATGGAGGAGTGATACCAGTTCTCTTTGTCACCAGTTTTCAGCTGCTTTCTTTCACTGTAAGGCATTCTCCTCTATCTTAGGTCCCAGTTTGTCCTCCACAGTTTTTCCTCCATTATTCATTGTGCAGAGTTAGACCTGGCCTGATAGTGGCAGTGGTTATAAAAATGCACCTTGATTTTTGTCTTGACTCCTGAGCAAGCTCTGTCAGTACCTTGTCAATGAATCCTGTGGAATAACACCATGATTTCCTCTCCTGGCAGATTCCAGAATGGTGCTTAGATCACTGGCATCCTTCTGAAAAGTCAATGTACCCTGATTACTTTGCCAAAAGAGAGCAATGGAAGAAACTGCGAAGGGAAAGCTGGGAGCGAGAGGTGCGTCTACTTGCAGTTCAGTGTGCAGCTCGGTCAACATGTGGACAGTCAGGTTCTGCTCTTATATGTTGAGATCTAGATTCCAGCCCTGACAGTTACTCTGACCCCTTGCTTCTCAGATGTACCTGAGTTTCTATGTAACATTACCATCTGATAAATATGTTAAAAGGTATTCCCTAAGTCTTTTTGGCTTTTCTATTCTTTAATTTTGTTTCTCCCCTCCTCCTCAGTCCTTTGGCTGATCTTATATCCTGCTATTCCTTAATCTTCCTCTACCCTAGAGCCTTAGGTATTTTTTGTCATCTTATTATCATATTTACATTTTTTGTATTATTTATTTATTTTAGTACTGGGGATTGAACCCAGGAGTACTTTACCCTGAGCTACATCCCCAGCCCTTTTTCTTACTTTACATTTTTTTGAGACAGAGTCTTCCTAAGTTGCCTAGCTGGCCTGGAACTTTCTTCCTTCCTCATCCTCCCAAGTTGCTAGGATTACAGATGTGTGCCCCTGCACCTGACTGAGGGTTACATTTTTATTTCTATTTTATTTCATTTTTTGATGGAACTGAAGCTTTAGCCCAGGGCCTTACACATATTAGGCAAGTGCTGTACCACTGAGCTACATCCCCAGCCTAGAATTACATTGTTAAAATCTTAATCTTAGTAAAATGTGAATAATATATTGGAGAAGTAGAGAATCCATTTTGGAGTTGTTGCAGAAATTCAGTCAGAAGGTTATGGTGACTCACATTAGGTGGATACAGTGGCTCTGGAAGGAAACAGATATTTAAGATGTTTTTGTTAGAGGGATATGAAGATTGGAATTGGAGGATGGAGGGGGAACAGGGAGGAATCAAGAGTGGTTTCTAAGTTTTAACACCTAAGCTTTAACATCTAGAGTTTGGTGGTGACAGCGATGGAGATGGGGAAGACTACAGAGGAGGGGGGTATATAACTGTTAGAGAAATAAGCAGGCATTCAATTTTAGAAGTATGGAGTTTGATAATTCTGTCAGACAACAAATGGAAATATCAGGAAATTTTGGAGGTAGGAATTCAGAACTTCAAAGAGAGATTTGGTATAGAAATAGAAGTTTGTGTTTTCAAAGCCAGAGAAAGGAAGGAGATCCTTAGCATAGAGTGTAGAGAAAGAAAAAAAGGAAAAGGGATTCTCCCTTCATTATAGTTGGATGGAAGCTATATGTAAATACATTAGTGTTGCAAGTTGTGAAAGTAACTCTTATGTGTAATAGCTTATGTTTTTTAGTGAGTTAAGAAGAAAAGCCAAAGGAAATGTGTGTGGTATGTATGGAGAATGTAGGAAAGGTGTGCTAGTCATGGAGACAGGACAAGCTTGCTGGAGAAAAACAGGATTGCCAGATGATTGTAAAGGCCCTTTTGATGCTGGGGATAATTGATGTTCATTTCAGGACTTCTTTTTTCCTCTTTAGCAATACTAAACTGTCTTAAGTGTGGATAATGTGTTTCTCCATTATCCAGAGTTAATAAGGAGTTGTAAAAAAAAAAAAGAGAAGGCATATCATGATGGAAGCTAAGCTGGTTGCAGAAAGAGGTGGTTGATGAAGAGAGAGGTCAAATTGGAAGGGAGAATCTGTGAATTGTTAATCCCTTTGAGTTTCATGTCCAATGAGACATTTAAGCAAGTCAGCTAGAAGGACAGATAGTCATTGGATAATTCTGAATCTTTTTTGGAAGTTGTGTGGCTTCTGGGGTAAGGTCCCCAGGATATTAACCCTTAAGAGTCCTTGGCCAAGGTGGAGTGGAAGAAAGGTCACTGTGGCCAAGGGGTACCATGTTTTGTAAGAAAAGTTGCAATATGTCAGGCACAGTGACAGACCTGTAATCCTAGTGACTCAGGAGGCTGAGCAAGAGGACCACAGGTTTGAGGTAAGCCTCAACAACTTAGAAATAGAAAATAAAAAGAACTGGGGATGTAGCTCAGTAAACAAGTGCCCCTGAATTCAGTCCCCACTACCATAAAAAAAAAAAGGAATGAAATGTTCCAACATTTAGAAGCTTGAAGTACATTTCTTCATGTTGAGCAACAGGCTCATTCTGCAGTTGATCACCAACTTCTTCTGCAGACATTTGGAAGGAGCTTTGGCTCCTGGGTTTCTTCTTCTATTAGTGATATTGGAGATTACTTGAACTGGGGGTATTTGGGCAACATCAGGCAGAACTGAGCCCATTTTTATGTGTGATTTCATGTTACTTCTTGTTCTGAATGCTACCCAGGGGTCTTTACAATTAACATCTTTAATATATACCAATTGGGGTTTCTTTCTTTTTTGTGTGTGGTGCTGGGGATTGAACCCAGGGCCTTGTGCATGCAAGGTAAGCAAAGCACTCTACCAATTAAGCTATATCCCCAGCCCAACCTGAAGTTTCTTAATGGTGCTTTTGGAAAGCACTTAGCTGAGACACAGGAATCAATGTGTTCTGCGTGTACCGATGGGGAACCTTAACAAGAGGAATTGGAAGGTATTATCATATTTGGCTTGAGGAGTTAAGAGAGGTAGGAGAGTTTGTTCACAATTCACTGCTTTAAGATTAGGAAGACTAAGGAGAAACGCTTTTCTCTCCAAATAAAAGTGTGGTTATGGGATCTGTGCAGGTACATACAAAAAACTCAGTAGTGAGGCTCAGACTGTGTAATGGGGCACACTACAGAAAGAAAGCTGTCACTTCACAGCAGCAGGTGAGTCTTAACATTAGTCATATTCCTTAGTAATTGTTCCTTCCTTGCCTTCTAGGTTAAGCAGCTGCAGGAGGAAACCCCACCTGATGGTCCTAAAACTGAAGCTTTGCCTCCTGCCAGGAAGGCAGGTGATCTGCCCCCATTATGGTGGCACATTGTGACCAGACCCCGGGAACGGCCCATGTAGAGAGAGAAGAGAGACACAGGCACCTCATTATTCATGCTTGCAAGTGAAATAAGTTACAGAACATAAATACACTTGCCCTAATAAAAATAACTAAATATGGTTTGGTATGACTGAGGTGTTCTGTCTGGAGAGTACTATGATGCCAAGTGACTGTGCCATGTCTTTCTTATTATTTATTCCATGTGAAGAAAATTAGTCAGATATCTAATCTTTTATTGTTTTTTCAGTACTGGGGATTGAACCCATGGATGCTGAACCAGAGCTATATTCCCCAGCCCTTTTAATTTTAAGACAAGGTCTCACCAGGTTGCTGAGGCTGGCAACAAAGTTGCAGTCTTCTTGCCTCAACCTACCAAGTGGCTGGGAATATGGGTGTGTGCCACCGCACCCAGCTGTAATAAGTCATATTGCCAGCACATTATTGTTCAGGGGAAACTTTGCAGCATAACCAGATGACAATTTTACTTTGAGGGCTGAGTTGAAGGCTGAATTAGCTGTAGTAATTAGAAGGAATATACAAAGCTGAAAGAAATACTGAGGACTTAAAAATATTCTATTTTTTAAGGATTCCACTAATGGGATTTAGTTTTTATGAAAAGGACAACTCTCCCTATAAAGGACAGTCAACAAATAGAAATGGAGTTTATAGTGTCTCTGCAGAATTGAAGGTTTGATGGTTGGGGTATCGAGCCCAGTCTGGGATGAAACTTGGTGACACTTTGGAGGCTGTTGTCTAGCTGTGTTCCCTCCACTGTGGCTTGGACTGTTTACACATCCAAAGGTAAGAGTATAGTAGAACTTGTGTCAAGAGAGGTTTTTTAAAAAGCGCTTTAAAAAGGCCAACCCAAACTGGTTTAGTTTGGGGTAACTTAGAACTAGTGGAACTGTTTTGAAATAATTAGTTTAAGCAACTCTGTTCTTAGGGCTCATAACCATCACAGAAATAATATTTTTTCAGTTTGCTAAGTAAGCTCAATTTGAGTCTCAGTCCATATTCTAACATTTGACTAAGACCTCAAACTGAATTTTAATAAGACTTGAAATACAGGGCTTTTTTTTTTTCTCTAATGGTTCTTTATTTATAATGTAGGCTGAAGCAACTGTTACAATGTAGAAGGGAGACATGTTACACAACTGTTATTTATACAAGTTCAGAACAAAAAACTGCACAGGGAGAGGTCAACTCTCAGTACAAACTAGCAACTAAACCACAATAATTTACCTTTAGAAAGGATCTTTTTATTTTTAGCTGTGACACTGCTTTTACAATATGCAAAAACACAAACAGAACTATCCAAGGTGTTTTGTCACATTCTTTCTACATTGAATTTGGCAACATTTTATATTAAATTTATTCAGATTATACTAACGTTTAAAAACTAAACAAGTGAAAAGCTGTACCAAAGTACAGTTACATCCATTTATTTCGAAGGTTTAAAATACCACTTTTAACTATTGTAATTACCTTGCAGCGATTTCTGCTTTTGCAAAAACCATCTCAAGCATCATATGCACAATGCATCAGCTACTTTTAGTCATCAAGATTGGTGGGCTAAACCACAGGCACTACTGTTGCTTATAGTCTGTAAAAGGAGCTTGTTTTTCAAAGAAAAAAGCTTAAATAGTTTCTAATAATCATGCCTTTGCTTTAAAGCCATAACATAAAATGTCCTTGAGCAATCACAGCAGTGTTAAATATTAATAAATAGAACAATGACTGTACAGGTATATCACCCTCACATCCAACGTGGTTTATGTATTAAAGCATAAGATTGTGTAATTGAAGATTAGAGCCAACAGAAATCTGCAGGGCATCTGGGGACCTACCAACTCCTCTTCCTTGAGAGGTACAGTCACAAGTATGCACTGTTTTAACTACCCCACCACTAAGGGACTTGCTTTCTTTAAAACAGTGCCTTTTCCAAATGTGATCCCTTTAAATCTACTAGTCTCTGTTGACTTTGAGGGATGGGCATTATAACAAATTTAACTTCCTCTTGAAAAAAAAAAAAAGACATAAACATTGTCTGGAACACAAAAAAGGGACAGTATAGTGGTCACACTCCCAGTGACAATAAATAAATCTTCCTTTCTTCAATGTTTAGTATGAAGCCAATTAATTGCGACTTATTTAAGGAAAATAAGAAAAACAAGCCCCCAGATTGGTAAACACATTGGCAAATTGCTAGACTCCGAGCTGGTTACGCTTGTTAAATCTGCTTGAGTTTTTTCAAAATATTTGGGCTTTTCAATGTACCCAGCCTGCTGGGCACAGTTAAGTAAAAGGCATTTGCTATATCTAAGAATTCCCTGCTATCATTTTTAAATGTTTTCACATTTTTAAACTGCCTTACCCTTTTGGATGTATTTGGATTCCATGAAGTGAGTACAATAGACAAGAAACTAAAGTGGGGGTGGGAGGAGTTCTATGTCTACCCAGTGGCAGCAGCATGCGCGGGATTGGAGGCGGGTGCTGTGTGCAGTGGAAGAAAGGAAGTCCTTAAACACCCTACAGAAACAAACACTGCAATCCAGTATGGCTTATTCGGATGCATTGACCATGAAGCTACTAGAAATTCAACCTACAAGGCTACTCTTAAAATGTAACAGGATTGGCTATGTTGACAGTGTGCCCCTCCCACGGCCCTCCCCCCAGTCTCAACACAGTCTACCTCTTCCAGATTTACTTCACTCTGAATATTGCTCATCAATTGTTATTCCTGCTTTTCTCAACCAGACATAGTATATTTAAATGAGGATTTTACCCCTTATCCATTTTGTTTGTACATTAAAATAACAAATTTGCTTCTAAGCTAGACTACTACAATGCATCTACAAAAGCTTGTGGAAGGGAAAGAAAAAGAAGAAAGAACTTAGTAATCTTTTTCTGAAATTAACCACTTTGTGGTTCCCTTGCCCCCATCCCGCCCCACCCCACCCTACCCCCTATGCATTTAAAATTTTACAAAGACTTGTAAAAAAGTTAAATGGAATTTGGCACCTTCAGAAAAATCAAAAGGGAAACTAAGATTAAAATGTGCAGAAAGAAAATCGTCAGTATTTACAAATTAAAAGATCAAGATTATGTCAGTTACATGTTGCTTTTAATTCTTATCTAAAGATGTTGAGTACTTTCAAAAGAGCTGAATTCTGAGTTGCCTACAAAAATTTTTTGTTTGATTATAGATTGGAATGGATTGAGACAAATTAGGTCTTATTAATTAAAGAGTCATTCCACACTGGCAGCATTTCCTGGGAGCCTAGAGCCTAAGAGAAGCGAGGGGCTGAACGATCGTTGGTCGTAGTCTTCTTCAGCTTTACACCCCTGCGGATGGCGTTCAGCATGTCTTCTCCTTGCGGAGTATCTCTTGGGCTGAGGTCTGCAGGGTCACTCTCTGCAATCTGGCCTGGGGAGACAGTGGCACTTGGGGGATCCCTTTCCTGATCTTCAGCCTCACTTTCTGGAATCGCCTGTCTGTGCTCCTCAGGGATACTGGGCTTTGGGCCTGGAAGTGGGGGGTTGACAGACGCTTGGCCGCTCCACATGGAAGAGGGCATGCTGGTGACACCCTGGGGGCCCTCACCCACAGATGGAGACTCAGGACTGTGCTCACCCCGTTCCTCAGGACCATCTGGAGGGGCTGGCAACACCCCAGGGAGGTCTGGGACAGTTGGGGTCTTGACGGGGATCACTGGTGTCTTGATGGGGATGGGACCAGCTCCAATGGTTCCCCGGCGGACAGAAGGCTTGGTGGAAGGGGTCCGTCGGATAGTTGCAACCCCTGGAGTGACCATAGCAGGTCCAAGGGTGGTAGGGAGGCCGGCAGTTGAGGCTGGGCGCTTGGCTTGGAACATCCGCCGGTAGGACTGGCTGATGTCACTGTTTCTAGGGATGGTGGAGGATTTATCAAACTCCTGCTGATCTGCCTCCTGGTCACCACTTACGGAGAAATAATCATAATCTGAAACTGATTATAGGATTTAATTAGACACATTCAAGGCAGCAGCTTTGCTTTGCATTCTTCTGTGCTGGAGGAAAAAAAGCACACCAGGCAGGGTGACACCCTTCACCCCGCCCTCCCCAAGGGTCTGAAGGATCCTCAGCCTTGCTGAGGGTTCTGTGGCAGGGCCCTCTGTTCTTGCACTGATGTACCCTGGACACCCAGAGCAGGACTAGGCAGCCACATAGATTCTGTTTAATGGGGGAAGAAGGTAAAGGGACCTGGTTGCAGCAAAACAACTTCCCAAGCATCTCTGGGAAGAATAAGGTGGACAAAGGAAGATAAATTCTACAGATCCTCTGGTCTGGAATTCAATATAAGAAATAAGACTCAAAGTAGTCTTAACACCACCCTGAGGTTTAGTTAGGTGAATGCTAGGAAAAGAACAGAGCTACTGGCAATGAGTTCCTGAAAACAAGGCACAGAAATGGGTTCCATCCTTGAGCTCATTTCCTCTCAAGAAATGGAATAATGCCCGTCTCAGGGTGAGGCAGGAAGGGAAAGCTTACAGATTAAACATCTAACAGTAGTGTTTCTGAACAGCAGTACTATTGACGTTTAGGGACAGGTCATTCTTCAGGAGGGCTTGTGCTGTCTATGATAGAATGTTTAGCTGTATCCCTGGCCTGTATTCAGCAGATGCCAGTAACCCCCCCCCAACTCTTTTTCTAATTTATTTTTTAGCTTTAGGTGGATACACACAATATCTTTATTTTTATGTGGTGCTGAGGATCAAACCCAGTGCCTCACACAAGTCAGGTGAGCATGCTACTACTTGAGCCATATCCCCAGCCCACCCTCCAACTCTTAAAACCAAAAATGTCTCCAAACGTGTCCAGGCCACATGTCTCTTGTGGAACAAAATCTCCCTCCACTGAGACAGTCTTAAGAGGCTTTGATGGTTTGTGGATAACTTTTGGTCAATTGTTGCCTGCTTTGTGTGCATGGCAGGATGGGGATGAGGAAGGCAGGGTGGACAGAGGATTTGGCTGGAATAGGTTGAGTTTTGGTGTTAGGCTGTAACACACTTCAGGTTAAACTCAAGTTCTGCTATTGAATCATGTGAATTTGGACAAGCTGCTGAGCCTCAGCTTCCACATCTGTAAAAGGGGATAAAAATATCCCATGAGTGGTTGTGAATATTAAATGGGAAAATAAGTATCAAGCCCTTAGTGTCAAGTGCCAAAACAAAAATGAAGCTGCTATTAATAGAATGTGTCTTAGTTCAGCTTGGGAGTCTCCATGTACCCTGATGATGAACTGAGAAGAGTTATTAACAGGTCACTTCTTGTGTGCAGCTACCTGACAAGTACAGAAGAACTCTCCGGAGCACTCCTGGATGATGAAAACAATCTGAGGCCCATCTGTTAGCCAGGGTCATGCCAAGACCAGAATGGAGGGCCTGGTTTCTGCCCACTGTCTCAGAAAACCCAACTGCAAACCCGGCTACATTATACCTTGGGAGGGGATAGTGTCCTCAGAGCAGCATGGGGTGGTCGTCTGGGTACTGTAGCCACTGGAACACTGCAGCGAGTCTCGACTGCTCCTCTGCGTGTCCAGCTGCAAGCCTCGCGACAGTGCAAGGGCCAGCTCCTCACAAGCCTCCATCTCTTCACCAGGCTGCAGGGTGGAAGAGAGACAAGCTATCAGGGCGTGGTGTGCCCAGGCCTCCCTGTCACTCTTGTTCTGCTCCTCTGAGTACCACGCATCTGTAGCCAGGGTCCTGACTTACTTGGGTCCTATCCATACTCTAGAAAATTCCACATGTCTGTTTCCCACACAAGGCTTTTCCTCATGGGATTGCTACACTGTAGGGTCTTGGGGAATGAAGCCCAGCTCATCCAACTTCAAGACTGCCTGGACTCCCATTGCTGGCTAGCACATGGCCCCCAGATAGGCCTAAGTGGACCCAACCAGCTACAGAGAACAAGCGCATCACCCTGGTGGCAGCCGACACAGTCATGCTCCTCGGTCTCTGCGCCTCCTCTGCAGCCGCTGGAGGGCCTCCCGAGGGAGGGGGTCCACCCCCGCTGGGGTCTGGCTCACGCTTCTCTCTGCGGCGCTGTAAGGTGTTCACCAGAGGCTGGTCGTAGGGCCCTGGCTTAGCCCAGTCCTAAGCAGAACAAGTGTGGTCAGGAGCCAGGTCCCATCCTGGGTGCAGGGCTCAGCCCCCCATCACAGTTGCCTACAGAAGGCTTCTCAGTGGGAAGCTCTGGCTTGGTCAAACCTGCAGCCCCTCTGCATACCCCCACCCAGCTCTGAAAAGCAGGGAGTGAAATGCCTTTTGGGGGACCCCTGGTACCTCCCTTTTCCTCAACTCTTCCAAAAGATTAAAACCCCTCAATAACCAGGCAGGCAGCGAGACTCTTAGTTAACAGCCACCTAACAAGTGGCCAGCATATGCTAAGGCACCAGCTAAGTGCCTCTCCAGCCAGGGGAGAGCCATCCCTGGAGATCAGGAATCTTTTATCCAAAGGAACCATCTGTCCTTGAGCAACCAGAAAGACGCCACGTTAGTGGAGTGGCCACCAGGGGGCAATGTCAGCCACTCTCAATGGCCAGAACCTTTCTCTGGGAAAATGGCCTCCGTGGGCAAGTCTAAAGGCCTCAGACAGGAAGGGAGAGCTCCCAGGGTCAGGAAAAAGGTTTGAGGAGTCTGAGGAATCCACACAGCCGATGAGAGAGTAAGTCTTAGTTGCTCAAGATGCTGGCAGCCAGGGGCCAACTTTTCAAATAAAGCCAGAATATCCTCCTGGAGCATCAGCTGCACTTGGTAGGAGCTAACTGGAAACCTGGTCTGCACATTAAATCAAACATGTTTTAATACCCTGTAAACTAAAGATAAAGTCTTTGTGTACTTTAATATAAAACACTATGATCCAAAACATTTTGGGCTATGGTTCTGTTACCATGGCCCAGCAGATGCTCATTAGGGGAAAAGGCTAGGGTACAAGGCCAAGGAGGGCAGTGTAGGCTCTCTGATAAAAGTGATGCCCACAGGCAGCCCCTAGGAAGGAACCAACCAGCAAACCTCATCCTTAGGCACATCTGTGCCTTTTATTTTGGCACTGGTGCCCCCAGCTGTGCACAGTGGACTCCTGCCTGCCAGGGTTAACTAAGGCACCCTAAAGGCAGAATTCCCAGGCTCTGTTCTACCTGGAAACTGCTACTTGGAGCTGCCAGCTGCTTTTCGGCTCTCCCCCAGTGGGAAGCTACTGAGGGAGAGGCCTACTGGGGAAGAAGGCAGAGTGTGAAAGGAGGGGGAGGGGAGCGTGGGAGGATGGTGAACAGAAGAGGGTGAGCACAGAGGCAATGGGAGGAGGGGGGGCGGGGAGGAGGGCAGAGGAGAGACACAAACCTTCCAGCTAGGGATCTGAGATGACGGGAACATGCCGGGCCCAATGGTGTAATAATGAGCGTAGTCTGGAAGGTGGACAGAGGTGACCCGAGGGAGCAGGCGGGAGGCAGGCAGGCAGTGAGGGAAAGGGCCTGCACCCACGGGCCCCACATGGGACTCACTTGATAAACTATAGTGAGAAAACCCGTTAGACAACTGGAAACAAACAAAAAGGGGGAAAGAAAAGGAAAAAAATTAATATAACAGGATGAGTGTGGAGACACAGATGGCATCGACATTTGGGGGAGGGGGGAACCTGAATATTTACAAATAAAACAAACATTGGGGCTCTGCTTCTCGTGGATGATCCGTGATGTGAGAGAAAAGAGCCAGGGTGCAAAAAACGCACTGTCTTGACACAAGATTGGTATTCAATCAAGGTAACATTTGACCTGCATTTCAGAGTAGATTGAAAATTGATCAGTGTCCTTAATTTGCAGCTTTCTTTTTTTTGATTATTTAACAAACTATAATTTCATGGTGACAGAGATTTTTTTCTCATCTCATTATGCAAATTAAAAAATTGTGAAGCATCTTCAAATGAATGTGTTCATTTTAGGTTTCCAAAATCATCACACTGTTCAGGAGCAGATTCCAAATCAAGGGTGAGAGTGGGGCGTTGCAAACTAAAAGGCAGCAAAGCACACAGCCTCGACAGTGAAATGTCACAACCAACAGTTTTGTGGGTGCTTGGGAAGGGACAGGGGAGAATAGATGAGCACACAACATCTGTTTTGGGAAGGAGCCTTCACACCTCCAAATTCCCCATGGCCCTTCCTCTCCCTCAGGTAGACCATATGACCTGGTCACTGCTCAGCAGCCAGGCACTCCTTCAAGAAAAAGCCCTCAGCCTGGTCCCACCCTCTATTCCCAAGAGGGGCCCGCTGCTGATGCAGAGTCTGCATTTCCAAGTGGCTAGGGCTCTGATGGCCGACAGGCAGTCAGGGAAGGGGCAGGGAGAGTGGCTGCTGTGGCTGCGACCCGCTGGTCACCTTCTCTGTGGACGCCCAGGCGCCCATGGTGGAGCCTGAGCTGACTGAGGTGGGGGAGCTGCACTCGCTCACTGACTGGCACGTTTCGGAAGCTTCAGAAGAGGCCGAGCTGGACGAGTTCTGCAGCAGGAGAGGGACCACACAAGGGGACAACAAACCGAACCACATGCCACCAAAAATAATAAGAAAGAAAAGGGGGCAGGGAAGGGCACGCACAGAGAGAGACGGACACATACACAGAGGAAGGAAGGATGAGAGAAGCAGAGGGTTACGGTTATTTTTTTCCCCGAAGGTTTTAAGCCTTAAAAAGAAGCACGAGACCCAGCAAGCTCTAGATGTGCTAACCATGGGGGTCTGAAGACAGATTTGTGTGCGTGCCTGGCTCAGAGCATTCGGTTAGGGCTGGTCAAGGTCTCCCACAACGCTGTGCTGTGTGGAGGAGCATCTGTTCACGTGCCACATGCCCCACTTCCTGGGGCCCCACCTGACCTGTGCACAGCCATTATTTATTGTATGAGACTGACGCTGGTTTGGGCATTTGCTACATGTCTACCTAGACTGGCTTGAATTCCTGGACTCTTCCTTCACCAAATGCAGCTCTGGCCTCAGGCTATGAATCCATATTGAGTTGTCTCTGTCTAGAAGGAGATTCTGGGATTTGGGACAGTGCAGTCCATTGGTGGTCAGTGCAATGTTTCCAGTGGCCACTATAGGACAAGACGAAGCCGCTGGAGAGGTGGATGCCAATCTGCACCAAAGCCTCCCACACTGCCAGTGTGGCTTCCTGGTGTTGTGCTGCATTGGTGATGTGCGTGTTAGTTCACCACTACACCCCTGAGTCTCGAGCAACAGCGACCACCTGCTCTGTGTGAACTGGTCCCTGGGGACTTGTCTTGACCCTCTGGGGTCTTGCTTAAGTTTTCCAATTGTTCCTGCACCAGCTGGCCTCCCCACCACCCTTCTATACCGATTTTCCCAGAGACTTTCCTGTCCCAACTGTCAAGGAGGCCAGACTTCTGCTTCTGTCCTTGTCAACCACAAAAGAGAGAAAGGTTCCTGTGAAGGAACTAAGGTTTGGCTTTCCCCTCCTGCAAGGCCAAGGAACCAGGAAGACATTCAACAACGGAAGAGACTCTGGAGCCAGTAGAGGCCGCACCATGGATAGACGTCCTAGCTGCGCCCCGAGGTTAGCAGCCCAGGATTCTGAGTTGGAGGGTTCAGATTTAAGTGTTTTCCACCACTTTCCATTTGAGGAATTATGGACTTCAAAGATCTCTAAACCTTTTTTTTTTTTTTTCACCTTTAGATGAAGATCAACAGTATCTAACAGATAAAGATAAATAAGACTCTGGATTCAGCTTAATCAACTAAATAGACATTGGGTATCATGATAATTTACCAGGACTATTTATTATGGTTCCTCTCATCCAAGAGGAACAGTAACCCACCTAGGATTCAGATCTCTTTGGACTTCTGCTCATTTTTTTTCTGAAGAACCTCTCTCCCTGGAGCAAACAGCTTTAGGGTGGCCCCATCCTGGGCCCATTGGGTAGGACACAAGGTGAAAAGAGCAGGGGGAGGAAGCAGGAGAATTCTGAGCAAGTTTTATTATGTGGCCTTCCTGTGGACCTTGTGATGAGCGGAGAGGTGGGGGTCCTGCTCCCTATACATGCTTGTCCCCCACCTCCCACCCTAACTAAAGGGGATGTGACAGCCTTTCCTACGGGCTGTACCCTCTGGCCAGTGTGATTGGTTCAATATCCTAAATATCATATCTGATAATTAGAAGCAGCTGCAATGCTTCTTTGGAAAAACAGCATTCTCTATTAAATCTGACAGCCTCCCTGAGCTTATAAAAACCACCAGAAAGTCCCAACTTGCCACCTAGGGCTTCCCCCAACACTGCTGGAGGTGGAAACACTGCTCCAGCCATCCTCTGGAGGTCCTGGACAGGAGGCTAAAGCAAGTGTCTTTTCTGTTTCAGAAAAGGGGTCAGTGCTCAGCGCTATGTTAATGTTTAGTCCATTAAAAACAAACAACACACAGTTATGCTGCACATTGGAAAAAGCTTTGAGGAGCTGCTTGTGAGCTGACCGGGCGGGGTTTAGTAAAGCAGGCAGTGGGACTGGGGGATGCTTTGAGGCCAACCCTAGCACTGGTTGGGACAAGCACATTAAAACAAGAGCCTCAGCCTTGGCTCTGGGCACTTCCATAGGAAACGGAGTATTTACACAAGAAGAAAGAGCTGCCACAGTCCCCCAGGATGCTGAAACATGCTAAGGCGTCTGAGCCGTGCAGCTCCTCACCAACATCAGGTGAGCAACACACACACACACACACACACACACACACACACACACACACACACACG